TCTTGTCCTCAATTAATCTTTTCTGTCCTCCTCTCTCCTCCTCCTCCTCCTCCTCCCTCCTCCTCCCTCCTCCTCCCTCCTCCTCCTCCTCCCCCTCCTCCTCGACTTTCCTGTCGACTTTGTGAGCCTCCTCCTCCTCCTCACCGATCGGAACTCAAGGAAGCCAAAGGTTTGTTGAGGAGAAAACCAGACCGAGATGACGGGGTTACCTGCGAGACGGATGAGGAAGGGAGTAGAGGGAGGGTGGCGGGGAGGAGGAGGAGGAGGAGGAGGATGAGGAGGAGGAATAACTTTGCATCACCTGGCAGGTCCGGATTGTGCCATCCGGACGAGATGAGAGTTTGGTTGGCATGCTCCATCAGCTGTGCTTCGACGCCCTGGTTGTGGGGGAGGAGAAAGAGCGAAGAGCGCAGGGAAGAGCACAACAATCACAGACAAGAGCAGCATGACGGAGAAAGAGCAATCAATGTTCGTTCCTACCCAATACATTCGAACTCACGGGAAGTCCAACAGGCAGGTTCCCGATGTACAGCCGTTTAGCGCTGATCTTCGCCTTTGCAAGAGCAGGACTGTTGTTCATCTCGGCTCGAAGCTGCGAAATGTCATCGCATCATGAATCATCCCTCCCTCCCTCACTCACTCACTCACTCACTCACTCCTCCCTCGCTCCCTCGCTCCCTCGCTCCCTCGCTCCCTCGCTCCCTCGCTCACCTTCCCCTCTTTCCCTCACTCCTCTTCCTCGCTCTCTTGTCCTTCACGACTCCGTTCTCTCATCTCACCTGCATCTGCAGCTTGTTCAGCGCTTCACTCACGATCGATCCCCCAGACAACTTCACGGGCGTCTGACTCTCCTGCAACGGGGACATTGAGCCGAACTAGCACCATGGCACACGGCACCTCACCGGAGCACCCTCAGCAGCCTTAGGTCGGTTCTCGCCGTCGGGAGACTTGCGATCCCTTCTGTCGCTGTCCCTGGAGGAGGAAGAGGAGGACGTAGTGATGGAGGAGGAAGAGGAGGAGGAAGAGGAGGAGGAAGAGGGGGAGGAGGGGGAAGAGGAGGCGGAGAAAGAGGAGGAGGAGGAGGAGGCTGGTCAAGGCGCACGTCATTGTGAGCTTGCGTCACCTTCTCGAAGGAGACGGATCCCTGGACCTGAAGCAACATCCTGACATCAGCTGAAAACGCCTGCCGGCCGACCAACAACTTGACGGAGAGCATACCTTCGATCCCTCGATCTTCTTCTCTCCCTATGCCATGATCTGTCTCGAGCCCTGTCCCTCCCCCGGTCCCGAGACCTGTCCCTCCCCCGGTCCCGAGACCTGTCCCTCCCCCGATCCCGAGACCTGTCCCTCCCCGGTCCCGAGACCTGTCCCTCCCCCGATCCCGAGACCTGTCCTCCCCCGATCCCGAGACCTGTCCCTCCCCCGATCCCGAGACCTGTCGCGTCGTCTATCCCTGGATCTGTCCTTCTGTCGATCCCTCGATCCATTCCGCCGGTCGCGAGATCGATCTCTGCGCCATAGCCGATCGGCCGACTTTTCTTCCTCCCTCGACCAATCTCGTTCAACCCTGTCGCTCGGTTTCTTGTCGAGACCTGGTGGAAACGAAGATCACCGTGACTTCACTAGCATCACACTAATCGATTCATCACTTGTCTCTTGTGAAAAACCTCTGCTTTCCTCGCTGCTGTTAGCAGTGCCGTCTCTCACTCCGCCCTCGTGTCCACCATTGCTGGCAGCGCTGCCGACATGACAGTCAGAAGGAGCATCGAGCAGCAGAGCCTACTTGGGTGCTTCACTTCGAAGGTCTTCTGCCATGTCTGATTCCGTCTCCTCCTGCATCGATCACTTCAGCGCTCCTCCTCCTCCTCCTCCGCTTCCTCCATGTCACCTTCGCACTCTTATCTACACCTCATCCCCCTCATTCCATCCTCAGGCCCGGCCGCCGCCCGGCCGCATGACTCATGATCGGACCACCCGGCGACGGTGACATTAAGACCCGGCCGGGCCCCGGGAGGGGGGGGGGCGCCGGGGCTGCCGGTCGCCGGGGCCCAGGGCAGCGGATGATCACTGACCGGACACTCACAGTTAAGTAACCTCCCCGGATTTTACGGTTACTCTGACGGTTACATTGAAATGTTCGTAACTTTGGTGACTTCGGGTAGTCCGTGTGTGCAGTAAACAAGAGCGTTACTGCCGTTGTAACGGAAATGGGCCCCTAAAAGTACCCAGGGCGTTAAAGGGCCGGGTGGGCGGATATGATTCAAGGAGAGCCATGGGCGAGCCGGGGAGGGAGAGGAGGCTGCGGGGACAACGGCCGGGCGAGAGGAGCCTGAGTCCCGAGGATCGAGGCCCGAGGAGCGAGGAGGGTTGTAGAGAAGGTTGAAGGATGATGTGCCCGCTGCCAGCCACCTTACCGATCATCGGCTGAGGTTGAAGAGCCTTCAGTGGGCCGAGAGGGTTTGATCCCATTCGATGGAGGCTAGTGGTAGGGAGCTGGGATAGGATGGGCTCCGCGAGCTTCAAGAGCGCCCTGGCAAACGACAAGGACCCAGCGGTCAAGGAGCTGCATAGTCTGACGCTGGAGAACACGAGAGAGAACCAGAAAGGATTCCATGGAGCCACGACCCCCCGCAAGAACGAGAGGGGGAGGAGAGCGTCCGAGGTCTTGCCTGCCTCTGCTGCCAGCTGCGTCTCCCACTGACGATGGTGATTGCAGCAGGAACAGCGCAAAGTCTCCTTCAAGGTAGCGGCGGTGTCTGATACCGCAGTCAGGTTCCTGACTTCCTCCCTCTGTCGTGACTAGGACATGTCGGATGACTTTGTGTACGACAAACTTGAGGTGCAGTCGAAGAGACTTTCCTTCTCGGGGATCTCCTGTGAATGCTCCTCTCCTCTCTCAAGGCGAGTGTCTGACATGCTCTGCCTTGTAGTGTTTCCCTCCAAGTCAAAGATCAAGATCGACAAATGGCACCTGAGCTCCACAGCCGACAGCGGTGCCTCCCCTCCCCTCCCTCCCTCCTTCGACTCTCCACTCCCTCCTTTCTGTCCCGTCCTCCTCTTCCTCCTCCCCTCTCCCCCCTCCCCTCCTCCTTCGACTTCCCACCCCTCCCACTTTTTCTTCTTCCCGTCCTCCTCTCCTCCTCCTCTTCTCCTCCCCTTCCTCCCCTTCTCTCCTTCCCTCCCTCTCCTCTTTCCTGAACAACCTTCCAGGCTCGTTCCGCAGGTCGACCCCCGAGTTTCGACCTCCGCCCATCGATGTCGTCAGCAGCCCCGTCGGGATCCTCCGATCTCCCGAGAACGCCGGCGACAAGTTGGGTCGCACTCGATGGCTGGAGGACATGATCGTCCACGAGCTGAACAAGTCGGAGGAGGAGGAGGCAGCAAGAAGGGATGTGGATGGAAGTCAGAGTGACAGGCAGGACGAGAGGAACGAGGACGGTGGGACTTCAAGCGGCGACAGGAAGCAGCCAGCTGGGAGGACTGCTGGCCTGCTGCTGAGAGAGAGCGAGGTCCCGCTGCCAAGTCCTCTGAACCGAACGCTGAAGAAGGAGGGGGTGCATATCAAGAGGCCGCTGGAGCTTGTGGAGGAGCAGGAGCACGTGGTAGGCGATGCTTCCAAGGACAGCAGGATAAGAGCTGTAGAGGCAGGGGACCGCAAGGTCAGAGCGCCTCGGTCGCCAGTCGTGCATGCCTGGACGGACTCGATTCGAGGGGAGGAGGAAGCAGGCAAGCAGGGGGGCAGAAGGGACTTCAAGGGTTCAGGGAGGGGATCGAGTCAGGAGCCTGTCCTGTCGGCCGGGCGAGACGAGGAGCTGGAGGAGCAGGAAGGGCCCAGCCCAGCGGCAACGAGCCCCGTTGTCGAGCTGCGACCGTCGCCTATGAAGTCCTCGAGCAACAGGAGGAACTTGGGGTGGAACGATAAGACGGTGCAGTCGTTGGAATACAGACCCTTCTACTGGTTCTGGTAGTGACCGCACGTGCTGCGCCCAGAGCAATCCGAGTCAATCGCAGCTTCATTGAATTATCAGGGTCAGGAGGGAGGATCAGGTGTTTAGCTCCCTTGCTTTCACTTCTTGTCCACCACCTTCCAGTTTCGCAGGACCTTGTCGTCTCGGAAGGTGAACGGGTTGGATCCCCTCCTCCACATGCCTCGCGGGGTATCGCGGACTCGTTTCTCAAGACTCTCCTTCATGGCGTGCAGCTTCTGCTTCAAGTCCTGCCTCCCTCCTGACATTGACATCTTAGTCGATCTACAAGTTGCCGATGACTCCTGCTCACCTCTGTCCACCAGAACGACGCTCGAGCCGTGCGGGTTCACCGGTGCAATGTGCTCCTCTGCCATGGCGACCGTCGCTGGCCTTCCCTGGCGCTCCTGTATAGGAGGGCGGCCGGCGGGTTTGGAGAACGCGTGGACGAAAGATTCGAAATCGGACATGTCGTCTTCGACGTCGTCGGAGATGGTAGGAGCGTACCCCATCCTCCTCTCCTCCTTCAGCAGCTGCAGGATCTCCTCGTTCTGCCTCCTCGTCTGCTCTCGGAACTCTGCCATCTCGAGCTCCAGGCGCGTCATGCGGGTCTTGAAGAAATCCTGCAGGCCTTGCGAGCCTCAGGGTCAGGAAGGAGCAGGAGGAGGAGAAACATTACCTTCCATCTTCTGGAGAAATTCTCCGTCGATCTGTCTGCTCGGCTCAGGAGCAAGGTGTTGCTGGTTTGGATGGGCGTCCACTTGCTCAGGGACTGGAACAAGAGGAGCAAGAGGAACAAGAGGAGCAAGAGGAGCAAGAGGAGGAGGAGGAGCAAGGTGAGATACAGGATGGACCACGACGTTAGGATGGACATGGTTCGATTGTCCGTTGGAAGACGGGGCTTGCATCGATACCTCACTCGCCTGGTCGTGGTTTTCAGTTCGAATCCTGCCAGCCTCTCTCCTCACCCTCCGAGACCCGCTGTACATGGAGCCGGACTTCAAGTGGCTCTGGAGCAGGTCCTGCGAGCTGGCGCTCGCCCGTCGTGCATGTGCATTTCCATCGGCGTTGGACGCTCTTTGGGCCTCCGTGACGAACGCGACCTTCCTCCAGAGCTCTCGTTTCGAGTCCATGAGGGTCTGGCAGAGCTTCTTCCACCTTGCCAGCTGGATCTCCCGGTCGTCAAGGAGGTACTGGCAGTTGCCAACCTGCTCGTTCTCCCTCTGCTCCCTCATCTCGTCGATCTGGTCGGAGATCTCGGGGTAGTAGTTCAACGCCTTCTGGAGGGCCGCGACGCTCACGGACCTGATCTCGCACATCTCGTTGGCGATGTAGTCGGCTCTGATCCCCATCTCTGCTCCCCACCTGTCACAAGCTCAGAAGGCAGGCGGCGAGCATGGTGACGTCACACTGTTGGTCCCCGAGCAGCGAGTACTCCCCGAAGTGATCGCCTGCCCGCAGCGTTGCCACGAGTTTGCTCGTCTCTTTGTTCTTTCCTATGACAGAGACGGAGCCCGAGGCTATCATGCAGAGGCGGAAGGCCGGGTCGTTGTGGAAGGCGACCATGTCGCTGGCAAGTCTGTCAAGGAAGGCTGAAGAGGAAGGAGCGTACTCACCCGGGGCCGTACATTTCCCAGATGGAGGAGAAGAGAATGCTGGCAAAGAAATTGTTGCGATGGGCTGATTGGATGCTTGAGAATATAGGGATGCGGGCGATGACGCCCTCGTTGAGGTGCAGGGCGAGTTGCTCTCCGAGGTGCGGGGGAAGGGATTGAAGAATAGAGCTCCTCTCCTCCTCTTCTGCCTTGGCCGAGTGCGTGTAGTGGACCCAGTGGCGAACCTTGTTAGCAAGAAAGTTGGGGCAGCGCTTCTTGCGCAGGAACAACATCACGCGCTCCAGCTCCTCTCGCTGGGCGTCGGACCGAGCGTTGAACTTGGAGACTGCGTCCTGAGGAAGGGAGGGAGGGAGGGAGGGAGGGAGGGAGGGAGGGAGGGAGGAAAGAACCAGTCAGCTCTCTTGTTAGCTTGCTTTCATGCGCTCAGACCTGTAGGTGGGAGATCATGAAGGCGAAGGCGATGGCGCCTGTCCACTCAGCAACCACGCAGAAGATCATCTCTCCTGGTGTGTCCGCGCTGATGTCGCCGAAGCCAACCTGGGTGAGAGTGAGAGTGACCGGACGAAGAGATCTCGACGGACCGTGGTGAAGATCGTGTTGATGAAGTAGCCGGACAAGATGTACTTGCCCCCGCTGTCGGTCTGGCTGACGTTGAAGTCGTGGAGGAAGAGCTGGAGTTCCTCGTCAGGGGTCACGTACTGCTTCAAAATCCACCAGATGCAGCTGTAGATATGGACGATGAAGAAGACGGTGAAGGAGATCATGATGACTTTCTGGATCCAGAGCTTGATGCGGATGCTGTACGCTCCCCAGACTTGCATCACCCGGACGAACCGAAAGATCTTGAGCAGCCTGAGGGGTCGGAGGACTCGAAAGAGCACCTTGAGGACCTGCGACCAGGACTTGACAGAGTTGTTGTTGTGATTGGAGCATGTGGAGATCCAAACAAACAGCTCCACCCAAGTGAAGGGGAGAGCTGTCGACGTGTCAAACCAGAACCGAGACTTCAAGTACTCCAGAGCGATATCCTTGACATTGTCAATGTAGTTCCCCAGCTCGTCGTAGAAACCGACGAAGAACTGAACGAATATCTCGAACATGAAGAAAACCTCGATGACAAGGTCGATAGTGTTGGTCACAGGCCAGTCACATGAGCCTGCATCGGAGAAGGCCAGCACGGCTGGCGTCTCGATGCAAGAGTAGATCACGAACATGGCTGAGATGAGCTGCAAAGATCCTGTTATCCTCCCCCTTCCTACCCCCTCCGCTCTCAGACCTGCAAATGGAGAGCGAACGGTGCCATGGGATGGATCAGTCGAGAACCGCCGCTTCCTTCCACGATTCCTGGGAAACGCGTCAGGCCCTGTCGCGATGGGTGGGGAGGGATCACCGAAGACGCGTCCAATGAAGCTCTTCTGACGGTTCTGGCTAGACCACCCTGCACAGAGTGTTACCTTTTGATCAAGTGTCCAACGCGGGGGAGGAGGAGGAGGAGGAGGAGGAGGAAGGTCCGTGCTCTGACCTTCAAGATGCTTCCTCATGGAGACAGGAGCTTCGCCCATTCGTATCATCGTGAAGTGATCGCTGTCATGCTCCGCTTGCTCCACCTGCAGGGAGCGGATCACTGGAGTGGGAAGCGCGATCGATCGCAGACAGAACCTCCTCCGGCACTACGAAGGCTTCCACCGCTGAGATCCACATGCCGACCTCCTGGATGGTCTGGCAGGCGAAGACGTGCAGGCGGGATGAAGCCGCTTCTTGGAGGGTAAAGATATGTCCGTTCTCATCCTGCGAGCCCTGCTTCACCCGGGCGTTCACCACGTCGATATCGCCGAGAGGCTCGCCTGGGCTATCGACGTACGCCTGCCTCGAATCATAGTAATACAGCTTCCCATTGGAGAGAATGAGGAAGCAATCCCTCCATCCGTTCCCCATGGTCCGCTTCTTCCTTGCGTCCCCTTGAGTTTCATGAAAGATCGAGCTCTTTCTCTGCAGCATGGAACGGTTCGTGTTCGCCATGGTTCTGAGCCCGGCTACAGCGGTGAGTCAGGACAGGTTCGGGCGGCGTGGTCAAGCCTCGACCTATTAGGAACCAGAGATCAGCAACGATTCTCAATCTTCCCAGCACCTCCACTCTCTGGTTTCCTCTCTTATGCTCACTGCCTACATAGTGTTTGACAGGCCGCTGAGCATGATTGGTGAGTCCTTCTCTCTCTCTCTCTCTCTCTCTCTCTCTCTCCTCTTCCTCTTCCACCACCTCCTCCTCCTCCTCCTGTACAAATTCAGCTCCTTCGAGTGCGACTGGCTGAGTGACGGCGGTCATTTTGACTGCTTCACTCAGGTTTTGTCCTGTCCCATTGATTCATCTAATAATTGATTGCTGTCTTTCAGAGAGATCTAGTGGAATTCTGAGGCAAGCTCTTTCTACTCCAAGTATACTTTGGATAGCAGGGACTCTTGTGGAAAAGGGGGTGGGGGTAGTTTGTAAATTTTAAAGAAGTGGTGTTTTAAAAGGCTTTCCATGGGGTCCAAAACTGCTCAAAAGGTGGGTAGTAGTTTTTAAAAAATTCATTATTAGTTTGTACCGCAAACGTGTCATACGGCACTGTCCTTAAATAGTTATAGATCATAAAAGTACATATTTGAAGGTTGAGGGTGGTCGAAAAGCAGGGGTAAGATTACAAAATTATAGTACAAATTTCGGTAAAATAGGGGGTAGGGGTGATGGAACTGGATGCTTCGGTGTAAAAGTATCACCTGTGATGGTGGGGTCCAGATTGAGAATATAGATATCAACTATTTACTTAAATTTTCAACTTTGAAAACAAATATTTAAAATATGAAATAGAATATTTAAAAGCGTGCTTCGAAGGAGGGGTCCCCTTTTTGTCATAACCCGCAGAGGGGGGATGGGGGTAAAACATAACTGAGTGTAACGGTAATACATAATTGTTTTAAGTGAAACGATGTTTTCTCTCTTTTGTGCATGTACCAGAACATTCGGTTTCTCGTAGACTTCTATGACTTCACTAGGACCCACAAAACTATCACCTAAAAGTGATAGTTCTTATACTTCCTATGGCCGCTACGGTACAATATGTAGAGAGTCCGTAGTAATTCTATAACATCCCTATGACCTTTCTAGGACATCGAACCCACTATCTCCCTCCCCCCCCCCCCTTTCAATGCAGAGGCCGCACGAGGATGGGTAGATGAAGTGAAGGTGGAGAATGCAGAGCGAGGATGGGAGGAGCGAGGAGAATGGCATAAGTGAAGGTATCTGCAAGGAAGATGAGACTGACTCCTTCTCGTGTGGGGCGTGGGTGGCTGCAAGGTCACTGTTGCGGCATTTCATGACGACTTTGGCCAGCTATGTACGATTTGATGAGGGGAGGCAGCAGGAAGGTTTCAGGGTAGAGAACAGATTTATTGTTATCATTCCATCAAGTTAGCCTGAGATTTCGTTAGAAAGGGAGGGAAGATCATGCTTCTGATCTTGCGCGCGCTCTGTCTCCAACAAAGTACCTAGGGTTGTCAGTGCATGGTTGGTTGGTTTCAATGTGGCGAATGCCATTGCATGAAATTGAACGAAACCGACGAGTGTTGACGATGGCATTCAGGTTCTCGAAAGGAGCGTGAGAGAGGTTTTGCAGACATCTTGGATCGAGGGAGTTGCTGCTCGTCAAGAAGAATGGTCAAGTCATCCTGCGTCTTGCTCGGTGTTCTCTTCATTGTCTGTGATGTCAATGGGTTCGGTTTCTCTCCCATGCTCAACTTGAGGAAGGAAAATCGATTTGCTTCTCTTTGCCAGCATCGGCAGTCGCCGCTCGCTGCTGTCATGATGGCGCGCCCTGGCGACGGGGGAGCCAGCAAGATCAACAAGGGAGGATCGGGGGGCAATGTGGGGGGCAAGGGAGGACCGGATTTCTCGAAGGATCAAGAGGGAGGAGGAGCTGGTGTTGCTGTGCTGACGAAGCCACCTGATCTTGACAAGGTAAGAGGAGAGGAGGAAGAGGGGGAGGGATGGGCAGAATACTGAGGAGCAGGACAGGCTGCCGATTACGAGAAGAAGGAGCAAGTGGACAAGGAGCCGATCTGGCGCGTTCTTCTCCACAACGACGACGTTCACACTTTCGACTATGTGATCGACACGATCGTCAAGGTAGTGCGGACGGTGACGCGCAAGAAGGCCCACAGGATCACGATGGAGGCACACAAGAGCGGGTTGGCCACAGTTACGACAACATGGAAGCAGCTTGCGAGAGAGTACAGCCTGGGGTTGCAGAAGGCAGGGTTGACGTCGTCGATCGCCCCTGAGAAGAAGTGCTAGATTCTACGAGCCTCGTGGGTTGAGGATGAGATGTTTGTTGGTCTTCGTCCTCCTCACAGGATTAAACTATTCTCTCCTCTGCTCCTCCCCTCTGTGACCTCTGCTCCTCCCTCCTCCCCTCCTGTTCCCTCCTCGTCATCCTCTCGTAGAACTCCTTAACCTTGGGCTCGGCTCGGATCTGCCCGGGATGACGTCAGCATTGCTCGCAGCTGAAGGACTGCCCCATCCTCTTCTCTGCTCCTCCCTCCACTCTCTCAAGACATGTCTCTTCCCAATACCTCTCTCCTGCCTCTCGACCACAACATCTCTGCACACCCTCCTCTCCCTTTCTAGACCAATCTCCTTTCCCTCCTTTTCCTTCTCCCCCTCCCCTTCTCCCTCCTCCTGGTCAGCATCCAGCAACTCACCGCTGACGGGGCAAAGTCGAGAACTCTCAGTCCCTGAGCACAGCGTTACAAACTCCTCTAACCCTGCCCCCTTCATCCTTCAACCTCGTTCCCCCTCCTCCTCCTCCTCCTCCTCCTCCTCCTCCTCCTCCCTCCTCCTCCTCCTCCTCCCTCCTCCTCCTCCTCCTCCTCTACCTCGAGCGTCTTCGCTCTGCTTAGAGCAACGTATGCCATGCCAGGCTCAAAGACTTTGGACAGAGACACGTGGAGGTGGGCCAATGTGATTCCCTGTAGGCGGAGGTGGAGCAGCGTGAGATGAGATCAGGAGGAGGAGGAGGAGGAAGAGGAAGAAGAGGAAGAAGAGGAAGAAGAGGAAGAAGAGGAAGAAGAGGAAGAAGATGAGGAAAGAGGAGGAGGAAGAGGAAGAGGAAGAGGAAGAGGAGGAAGAAGAGGAGGAAGAAGAGGAAAGAAGAGGAAGAGGAAAGAAGAGGAAGAGGAAAGAAGATGAAGAGGAAGAGGAGGAGGAGGAAGAGGAAGAGGAAGAGACTTACCTGTGACTTGTGGATCGAGATCGCCCAGGCGAGCTGCAACGGGACCTATCGCTCAACATGAGAGGTGTGCAGCAATATAAGCGCGCACTGCCCCTTCCTCTCCTATGTCTTTTCCTCTTTTCTCGTCTTCTTCCTAATCTCTTTCTGTTTCCTCCTCCTGCAATCTTCCACCTTCCTGCTCCTGCTCCTGCCCCCCCTCCCCCTCTCTACCTGCAGCCTGGACGCCTTGTGCATCATGTCGCCGCACGTCCAGGCCTCCAGCCCCACCGTCACTTGCGTTCCGTTCTCGAAGAGGACGATGGGCATGCCCGAGGATGCAAAACCTGAGAGGCAGGAGGTTGAGAAGAGAGAAGGAGAGGAGGAGAGGAGGAGGGGAGGAGTGATGGGGAGAATGGGAGGGAGGGGAGAGGGAGGGGGTGTCCAGATGAGGAGGGAGGGGAAGAGAGGGAGGTCAGGAAGGAGACGCGGGATTGTCAACGAGGACGGGGGCACGATCAAGCAAGATCATCGTGGTAGATGAGGGGAGAGAGGGAGGAAGAGGAGGTTGACCTTTGACAAGCCCTCTTGCTCCATTGACTAACCCTGCTGCTCTGTTGATCGTCTTCACGAGCATGACCTGGATACTGCATCATTCCACTTCTCCTCGCCTCCTCTCTGCTCTGCTCTGCTCTGCTCTGCTCTGCTCTGCTCTGCTCTGCTCTGCTCTGCTCTGCTCTGCTCTGCTCTGCTCTGCTCTGCTCTGCTCTGCTCTGCTCTGCTCTGCTCTGCTCTGCTCTGCTCTCCCCTTCTGCCTCCCTCTCCCTTGTCCCGCCCTGTTGTCTCCTTCCCCCTCCTTCTTCTGACCCTTCTGCTGCAACCGCTGTTCTAGCCCTCACCTGAGCTCCTTTCTTCAGCTGCAGCTGCCGAGGCGCCAGGCACTGGGAGTTGAGAAAGGGCAGGGACCTGAAGGAAAACTCACTCGCTCGCTCGCACACAAGTTCCTTCCACCGCTCGTCGCCTTCATCCCGAGCTGTAAAGATCTTGACCTGCCCCTCCAGCCTGCGGACGGAGATCAGTGAAGTAGGAAGAGGTGAGGAGGAGGATTTGTGGGAAGGAGGAGAAGAAGGACTAGGCGGGAGGAGGAGGAGGAGAGGAAAAGGAGTGGGAGGAGGTTGAGAAGAGGGAGGGGGAGGAGGTGAAAAGGTGGAGGCCGGGGGGGGAGGGGGCAGGAAAGGTGAAGAAGGTGAAGGAGGGGGCAATGGGGGAGGAGGGGGAGGTAAAGAAGGGGGTGGAGGAGAGAGGGAGAGGAGGAGGAGGAGGAGGAGGAGGTGGTGGTGGTGGAGGAGGAGGAGGAGGAGGTGGTGGTGGTGGAGGGTGGTCCAGCAACATGGAGCGTCGCTCACTTTTCAAGCTCCTGCGCGTTCACTCTATCGACGTCTGAACGATGAGACATGATCCTTGTGATCATGGTGCTCTTGTCATCCTCCATCCTCTTGTCCCCTGCAATGCACACTCAATCCAACGATCCTCCATATCCATTGTCGCTCCTCCTCCTCCTTTCTATCATCATCATCATCGCCATCGCCATCGCCATCATCGCCATCGTCACCATCCATCATCATCCATCATCATCATCATCACCACCACCATCCACTACCTCCTCTCTCTTCTCTTCTTACCTACTCCCCTCATCCTCGAGCGCAAGACATCTACCGTCTCTGCTGAGCATCTCCCCCACCTGACCTCTTCCTGTCCAGACAAGTCGTCAGGAAGGGGGAGAAGGGGCAGCCAAGTTTTAGCCCACCAGCAGCTGGATCAGCCGCATGTCTTGTTGTCGGAACACTTGCGTGAGCTGATACTGGTGGAGCACGAAATCGTAAAGATCAGCACACCACAACGATCACTCTCCAACTGCTACTATTCCCCGCCCCCCCCCCCCCACCTTCTTTCGCTGCTCCTCCACACCCAAATCCGCACGACAGCCCTCAATCATACGCCTCCACACGCCAGCACTGACCGATCTCCGTATCGCCTTCTTCCAGCAGGACGCCTCGAAGCAAAGCTTCTCATCCCTCCCGCTCTTGCTGCGCAGCGTGCTGAGGTCAGGCCTCGACCCCTCCCCATCTTCCCTCACCTCACGGGAGGCAGCTGGAAGAAATCTCCGCATGCGATGATCTGCAGCCCTCCAAACACTCGCGAGTCTGTGAACGTGTCAACATGTGCGCGTCGTCATCAAAACGTCATCTCTCACCATTCCGAAACAACTGAGCCGCTTGATTGAGAATGTCGAAAGAATCTCCCGACAGCATTGAGATCTCATCGATTATCAACGTCCGCGCCCGGTTCCAGCGTCTCCCAACCACTGCATTCCTGAGCTTCCCGACGATCTGATCCAGACTGACACTGCTGTCCGAGAAAGCTGAAGAGAGCGAGGGGGAAAGAGGGAGGCAGGGAGGGAGGGAGGAGAAGAGAGGAGAGTCATACTCTGCACGATGTTTCATCTTCTTTACCTTTGCCGATCCCCGCGAACTCATGGATGGTCATCCCGTTGACATTACACGCTGCGACTCCCGTCGGCGCCGTCACGAAAGTTGTATCGGGAGGAAGCTGCTTGATAATCTCTCTCAGCACCTGAATCAAGACGTCAGCAAGTCAGCTCTTCCCCACCATGGACATCAACCATGGATTTCCCTGTTCCTGCTCCCCCAGTCACGAAGATGCTGTCTCCTCGCAGGGCAGACTCTACGACGGCCCGTTGTGCCTCAGTCAAGCTCGCCGAGGCCGACTGAGCTCCTCTTGCCCTCTTGTTTGCCGCCTCCTCTGCCGTGCATGGCCGCTTCCTGTCTTGTAGAGGACTTATCTGCTGCCTTAGAGGGAGCGCTTGCCCGCTCAGGGCGCTCTGTATCATTCGCTTCAGGTACTTGAGCTGTTGGGGGTCCGCGTTGCTAACGAAGAGCTGCGCGAGGTTGTCACACATACAGCCGAGGAGAAGACAGCAGGCAACAGGCAACTCACAGAGAGGTTTCTGTTGACATCTCGGAAGCACATCTTGCCCTCAGAAAGAAAGTTGCTGTGAATGACAACACTCGTTGCCTTGCTTGCTAGCGGCAACCTGATCTGGTTCGGGACGAGATCGAAAAAGATGCACTTTTCTGCAAACGTTGTCAGGCATGACCTGTCGGTTTACCTCAACACTGAGACGCTACCTTCTGGAATGAAGGTCATCCTTGTGTTCCGTCGAACCTTTGATGCAGCTCCTGCTCTCGACGCGGTCTGTTCCATCTTGATATCGCACTCGACCTCCACACAATCCGCTTCCTCCTCGTCTGAGTATGACATGATAGGAGGCAAGTTGTCTGTCCGGAGATGCGATGAAGGTGCAGATGAGGTTCTCTAGCTCTCGATTCTGGGGACGTTGCCTGTACCGCTATCGCTCTCCCTCCACTCGTCCTCCTCTCACACGCTCTCTCGGATTTTTCGTAAAGGCGTGTATGGAGCAACGGTCCCTTAGAGCAAGAATTTTACTCAACATATACAACGGTGAGGCTGCCTCGGTGCGGTACACCGCTGACAAAGTCACAACTTGGCAATCCGATCGGCCGATGATCGGATCGGACGTCTGACCCGGAGGCTCGGCGAGTCGGAGTCCGGCGCCCGACCGTACGGTACCCGACGGTAGTGCCAGGCCGCAACTTGCACTGCGGCAAGTTGGCAGTGGGCCGTCCGATCACACTGCCGGCCGCGGCCGGGCACTGCACCGTACGGTCACACCGTCACCGTGCCGGGCATGACGGCGTGACGGTGATCGGACCGGGCCGGAGGGGTCCAGTGATCGGGTAAACTTTGGCAGTTATGTTCACTGCTGAGTGACAACTTGGTCAGGCCGCCTCAGTACGGTAGTTCAACGTCCGACGCCGGTCCCGTGCGTTCGCCGCCGGGAGCCGAGCCGCTGAGCGGCCCGCCGGTCGAGTCCGGCCGGGACGTCCGGCGATCGCTAACTTGTCTGGGTGAAGTTTTGAAAAGTGACGGTTGAAAATCGAGGGTAGGGTACATAAAGGGATGCCATGGTGGGTAATTTGTTGGGCATTTGTGGGGTGTCCTTGAAAGTGAGAGGGTAGGGTGGGTTGTCACTTTGGCGCAATGAGCTTTGGTGAGAGTGGAGAAACGATGAAGTGAGGAGCGGGGGGGGGGGGGGGAGGGAGAGCGATTAGAGGAGGATGAGGATGAGGATGAGAGTGATGAAAGAGACAAGTAGAAGCTTTCTGCTGAGGATGGACACGGAGAGGACAAGGATCCAAGGTGGGAAAGCCAGGTAGGATGTGGCAGTGCAGGAGGACGGTGTGACAGGTCAGAAATCCAGAGCAAAGGAAGTCTTATGATGTTTCCCATTATCTTGTTATGGATTGAGAGAGTTTGTTCCACTCATACGTCGCTTGTTCCAGGGCCATCTCCGATGGGGACAACCCTGGGTCCGAGTTTTTGGATCCCATCCCTTCTCCCAAGGGTACATGACGACCCTTGGTCTTACCGACCAGAGGAGGACGAGGTGAGGCACAAGAATGCATGATGAAGGGATAGTCATGTGGTGAATCACTCACACTCCCTCCTAGGAAACCATTCTGGCATTGGAAGAGAACAACTGGGACAAGAAGATCTCCGCCTTGAAGCAAGTGAACTCGAAAGGGCAACCCATGGGTAATGTTCTAATCGAGCAAGTCGAGGAAGATCCTGAGGTCTGCTCCCCCTCAGCTTAGATCGTGACTGAGGGCTGAATGATGTTCGCAGATGGAAGAGAGCGTTTCTGAAGAATTCGCAGAGGCCAACACGAGTACCCCTTGAGTTGTTTCAGCAAGCTTCCCCTGCAACTCTCTTCCGCTCCGGCCCCTTTTTCACTGATGCTCTTGCAACACAACTTGGCCGTTCGAGCATGATAGAATCGTCGCAAGATGGAGTTCCTTGATTCAGATAATGCAGAATCCTTCTGGTTGCAACCGCAGTGATAGGATAATTGCAAGTCAGAAACCACCCGTGAACCAAGTGAGAAGTTGTCCCTTGCGAGAAGCAGAGACATGCAATCACCTTGATTTAAATGTATTCAAGAGAAAAGTAGTTTAATGCTTCTTCTGCTTTCCTGCGGACTCCGCAAGGGAGTAGAACATGGTGCCAGCAATGGCAACGGCAGATCCGATCATGGCGTTGCGGTCCATAGCCTGCATTGAAAGTAAACACTAGGAAACTCTGATAAAACATGAGTCCAACCTCTCCAAAGATGATAGCAGTGACAACGATGATGATGACACGCTTGAGAGTGTTCAACACCGAGCTGGTGACGGCTCCAACCTGATGGACCGGTTAGATCCAACCTCTAGATCCTCGTTGATGGTACCTCAGCAGTGAAAGCAAAGGCAAGCTCGTTGTAGAGATAGAAGAAGACGCCGGAGAGGGTGATGTTGAGGATGATGTCCGAAGCTGAGAAATGTCATCAGATCGACATGCTTGTTCGTTACAAACGATCTGCTGCATCACTCACCTCCAAAGCATCCCTTGCCATTCATGTCCTTCTTGCATGCAGCAGCACCGTCAGCCACAGCGTGGTTCCAGGTGTCCTGGATGGTGGAGAGCTCCGTGGAAGCAACGGCAATGAAGGTCCAGAGCGCCGAGAGGATGTTCATGACAGCGTAGGTGTTGGCAGCATCCATGTTCTTGGACTTGTCGGCCTTGAGCTTGTGCGTCTGATCCTTTCCGAGCTTGCCCTTCAAGGCAGCAGCCAAGTTGGCGAAGGAAGCCCAACCGAAGGCAAACACGTTGATCTCCACACCCTTTCCTTCCTTCACGCAGGCAAGTCCGACACCGCCGACGATGACGAGGAGCATCATGTAAGCCAAGGCGGGCTTGGTCTCAATGGGAGGAACAACAATGCCAATCAAGGCAGCAAAAACAGGCTCGCAGGCCTTGACAATCTGGGCAAAGCTGACGGCGCCAGCACCCATAGCAAGAACGGATCCGCCATGTGCAGCGGCGGCAAAGAGTCCAATAGGAGCGAGAGACAACCAGTCACCCGCAGTCAGGTTGGGAGCCTTTCTGATTCCTGGAATCCACAACATAGCACACCAGATCACACCCACCTGCACCAGATCCCGTCAACATGCATGACTCGAACCACGACAAGACGACCCATATGTGGTGAAACATGAAACGTGTCACCACCCTCATCCCCCAAATCACAAGCAAAGTTATCGTATATGTGCAACCCAGATCCCAAACATCGGGTCACAACATGACAGTCATCCACGACTTTCAATACGCAAGCATGGGTAGATATGATGCTTAGGAAATCAGAACACCGGGGCTGTTTACTCACCACAAGCTGTGCGAAGGCAACAGACCAGTGAGCATGGATGTTGTTGCAAGCCTTCTTGTTGTAGATGTTGTAGAGGGTGTTACCAATGTACCACCCTGCCACGAGCAGCACGAGCTTCGTTGTGTTCGCCATTACCGCGGCCACTGGAGTCCTTGAGCCGACGCCTTTTTAAAATTTGTCACTGGTACAACTTAGTATGAAAGTATACAGTTTATATCTGTACCATGATTCCGAGAATTTTATACTGGAAGTTACAATTAAATTGTTGTTTGATTACTTCGAGGCAATATTCTCTTCAATAAATTACTTAATACAGTTTTTGATTTTCTACAATCTAGTACGAGCATCATGTCCCCTTACAACCTGCTTGTAGAAAACTCAGTACCAGCTGACAATTCTAGAACCTTTCTTCCTAGGACCCTGGTTCATATGATGACTACTGCATCGCTACAAGCACCTGCCCCTTAGGATTGCCTAGGTCACTATCTACGCCCCCTTTGGTCCCCGATATGACCTCCGGTCTTATCCCTTACTAGTACTTCCTAGAGGACCGGACTCGGAGTCAAACCGTTGAACGGGCCGCCCGGGGGCCGGCCGGGCGGCCCAGTGCTGACTCAGTGAGTACTTTGAGTCTTTTACTCAAAGTTAAGTTAAAAATCAGTACGTGGACAATCAGGACAGTAGATCATCACTTAGGCTACGGCGCGCAGGACCACTGACTGCTGGTTCCTCCGCACCATCATTAGTGCCACCGTCACGGTACGGCCGCACTGGCCAGTGCCACGCTGACTCAGTGAGTGGTGATCCGATGAGAGTCACAGGCTTGAAGTGTGGGCCGACGGTGCCAGTCCGAGCCGAGCCCGCGGGGCCCGCGGCCCTGTCCGACTGGCACGGTCCCAGGCGGCGAGCCGGGCTCGGACCGGCGCCGTGCTTGGTGACCGTACGCCGTTACGGTTCGGACTCCGAGTCAGTGAAGTTCATCGCCCTCATTCTCCTAGCCCCGATAGAAAATCGAAGGGTTCATTCATGCCGGGGGATATTAAAACTTGGGGGATTAAAAGGTCTCGGAGGGTGGGGGTAGTGAAAACAGGGGGTCCTTTCTCGTTGATTGACCTGGGAGCAATGGGGGTGGGGTAGCGTGTAGAGTGGTTTTGACACAATGACAGTTTTACTGAAAATCCCCCGGTCAGATGGGCAACCAACTTCATGCAGCGAGCTAGTCAGTCCCGAGGGCACAGAGCAGCCTGAAGTGGCTGAGGAGCGAGGAGAGAGTGAGAGCCTGCTCTCCAACGACATCAGGGCTAGCAGAGGTAGAGACTCTCGATCAACGGCGCCTGGGGGAGGGCCGGGTCTCAGTATTGACTAGCAAGAGTCCAACAGGGGGAGTCAGAGGAAGGGAGACTGGGGGAAGAGGGAAAGCAAGGGCGCGCATATCACTTGCCCGGGGGCTCAGCATTCTTTGCCGCTGCAAGGGCGTGGAAGACTAGGTAGAAGCTAAGGGGCAACTACTGTGAGCGTCATGGCTGCAGCGATCGTCGTGGCGCATAAGAAGAAGATTCGTTCACCTGACCTTCGGTTTCGGGATGAGCTTCAAGATCAGAGGTTGCTTCCTGTGCTCGCCTCACTCCTCTCCTCTCACCTCCCTGCCAGAATGCCGTCGGAGCACTCCTGCATCTTCTCTGGCATCCTGGAGAAGAAGATCGTAGGGTGCGTTGATTCTTGACGCTCCTCCTCTCCCTGACAGTTGACTGGCGTCTTGTTGAACTAGGTCCTCCATCACATGGCAGCAGCGAAGAGCCGTGCTGACCTCGACCCACCTGCTCTTTGCAAGGATCGATGACGATATGAACAACGTGGTCGACCAGATCCCGCTGCACGAGATAATTGCGATCATCGAAGAGGAGTCGGCAGCGCAGAACTCTTCGAACCACTCAAACCCAAAGAGGATAACGATGAGCCGGAAGGAAAGCAGTGTGTACGGTCTGTTGCCGAACCAATCGAAGGAGTTCAAGATCGCGACCCAGGAGGGAGGGTTCAACAGTGGGAGGACGTACACGTACAGGGCTCAGGATGAGGATGAGCTGTGCTTGTGGTTGGATCATCTGTACAAGACCATGGCGGCTGCGCGACAGAAGTACAAAAGGAGCAGGCTGTCGAAGCAAACGCTGCTGATGAAGATGAGGGGCAGCACTCTCCATATCTATGAGTCCACCGTCGTGCAGACAATCATCGCAATCCTGATCTTGTGCAGCTTTGTATTCGACCTAATCGAGTCCGAGCTGCTTCCTGACAGCAACTCTCCTGTTGGTGGAGTCTTCAGAACGGCTGAGATCACTTTCACGACCATCTTCTGTGCGGTAACTTCGGAGCTCGCGACATGTGTTTGTCCTCTAACGTTTGTGAAGGAACTTGCGCTGAACTTGTTTGCAAAGTCTGCCAACTACTTCAAAGCATTCTATACGGACCCCTACAGCTTGTTGGACCTGGTCGTTGTCTCCATCTCAGTCCTCTCCGTCAGCTTGTCTGGTCTGCCTGGGCTGCAGCTTCTCAGAACGATTCGAATTTTTCGGGTTGTGCACGATCTTTTGATCTCTGAAGGAGTTGTTGAAGTTGTGAGGGCAGGTGGTGAGGCTATTCCGACGTCTGCAGTCTCTGAATCGGTACGGCATATCCATGCCTTCATCCCAATGCCCTCCCCAATCGCTCTACCTTGTACCCGCTCTTGTACCCGTACTACCCATCTCTTGCTCTTCCACTCCCTCCTACTCCTCCTCCCCACTTTCACCTCCCCACAGCTGACTCTCACGCTGTTTCCACAGGATCCTACGTGCTCTTACCGCATCCTTGTATCCCGTTGCAAACAGCTTCGTCGTTCTCCTCATCGTGACTTGCGTTTATGCCTCGTTCGGCACGCACTTGTACTGCGAGCGGTCCAAGTTCTTCGCTCAGTTCTCATGTATGCACAGAGGTTGAGGAGTGGGAAGGAGGAAATGAGGGTCAGGTCAAGGATGAGGAGGAGAGGAGACGGGTCTCAAGGATTCATAGGGGAGGAGGTGGAGGTCAGGGAAGAAGAGCAAGACGGCAGAACGGGAGTCAAGGAGGTGGAGGATAGGGGACGGGGTCAAGGAGGAGGACGAGGCAGAGGATGAGTTTGACTTGTTCTCTCTCAGCAAGCTTGTTCACGCTGTTCCAAGTCGTCACCGGCGATAGCTGGGCTTCTTCCGTTGCAAGGACGCTGTTCGTGTCGGAAGAGGGAAAGGTTGACCTCGGCGTCGCCTTCTTCTTCGTCAGCTACGTCCTCCTTGCTGGGGTCGTGCTGATCAACATCGTGGTGGCGGTAAGGAGGAGAATGCGGTACCTTGTCCGTGCCGGGCAGCTGAGAGCAGCGGGCAGGTGCTTCTGGACGAGTTCATAACGTCAGTCACAGAGGAGAAGGAGCGGCAGAACAGGGTCAAGGACGCGGAGAGGAACAGGCATCGGACCAAGGGTCCCCTTGACCCCCTCACGGGTTACCTGGCGAGGTTCCAGGACGAGGAGGACCTGGAGGAAAAGATTGACACCCTCTTCAAGAGGTGGGCCCACCTTCCTTCCTGCCCTTCCCCTCCTTCCTCCTCTTCCCCTTCTCTCTCCCATCCTCATCCTTCCTCCTCTACATCGCATTGCTGCTGCTTCTGCTGCTGCTGCTTCCATTCTGTATCATCCTTTCCCCTTTCTATCCTCCTTCCCCTGCTCCCAACGCTTCTGCTTTCTTTCTTCTCGTCCTCTTCCTCTTATCCTGCGACAGGCTCGACCTGGACGGCTCGGGTCACCTGGACTTCCTGGAGCTGCAGATGGCGCTGAAGCAGCTGCCGACGTTGTCGGAGCAGATCTACATCAGCCAGGATGACTTTGACATGTCGAGTTTTGACATCTCATGGCCCCCACCTGATCCTCATGCAGGATGACGAAGCGAGGGAAGCTCTGCAACGAGGAGGGTGAGGGACGTCCTGCCGTTGCTGCTGCCCTGCTGAGACGTTTTGACAGGAAGCTTCGACTCTGCTCTGTTCCAGGTGGGGGGGGAGGCGAGAGGGAGGAGTGAAGTGCAGGAGAGCTGGGAGAGTCTCAACGGTATCGCAGGACATCATGAGGAAGGAGCTGAGGAGGTTTGCTGGACTCTTGCTGAACGATGCGATGATGGAGACTGACACGATGGAGTACGTTGTCTTCCTCCTGCTCCTGCTCCTGCTCCTGCTCCTGCTCCTGCTCCTGCTCCTGCTCCTGCTCCTGCTCCTGCTCCTGCTCCTGCTCCTGCTCCTGCCGGTCCAAGCTCACTCTCCGCAGGTTTCGCGCCATCACGCTTCATCTGAAACTCATGGAGCTTCAAGTCGAGATGCTGGGAAAGATGGTAATGGAGCAGAGCAAAACACTCAGCTCCAAGATTGAGACAAACTTCGCCGCGGTAGGATACTGCTGTTACTCCTCCTCCTCCTCCTCCTCCTCCACCACCACCACCACCACCTCTCCTCCTCCTCCTCCTCCTCCTCTTCCTCTGTCTCTTCTGTTACTTGTTCACTTGACACCTCTATCTGCTCCTCGTATTTCTTTTCCGCTTCCGCTGCTCCGGACGTTGTTCATTTCTCTTGACGACCTTGTTCATTCCAGCACGACCAAAAGTTATCAAATGTGGAGGATCAGCTCAACAAGCTCTGCTCGGCGTTGCTTCCTCCTCCCGCTGCTGCTGCTGCTGCTGCTGCGGCATATCCCTCTGTGAGGGCTGCTACCTCTACTGCACCCGCAGCATCTCCTCCTCCTCCTCCTCCTCCTCCTCGTGTGAGGAGCGATTGTGAGGACAAGAAGCAGAAGACTGAGACTGGACAAGAATCGGCGGAGGAAGTGAAGCCTCGCCCCGAAGATACACGGGTGGATCAGAAAGTCGAGGAGGAGGAGGGAGCGGAGGAGGAGGAGGAGGGCGAGGTCGTACAGGAGGAGCTTGATGCGTCTTTCGGCGAAGCGAACCCAAGTTTCATTACGGTCGCTCCTCCTATGTGGGTTGACAGACCCAGTACAGAAGTGGAGCGGAGGAAGGAGGAGGACAGGACAAGGAAGAATGAAAAAGTTGGCAGCGGAACGACAGAGGAGGCAAAAGGGGAAGGAGGAGAGGAAGCGGAGGAGGAGAAGAAGAGGGAGAGGAAAAGGAGGGGGCTCCTGCTGCTCAGTCCCCTCGTCCTTACTGAGGGCTATCATCAGTCTGCTGTAAAAGAGCACAACGGTAGGAGGCATCTATAAACCATACGTACTGCTTTGCTTCTTAATGCCCTTCTTGCCTTCCCTTCCTCCTCCCTTACCCTCTTCCTCCTTCCCTGCCACGTTTCCTGCTCGCCCTCACTTCTTCCCCTCTTTCCCTTATGTGTTCTTCCTCCAAAAAATGCCGATCCTGTATTTCATGTACAATTCCCCATCATTATTCTACATCGCCTGCCCGTAGCCCCCTCCTCCTCTTCATCCCTTGCTCCTCCACTTGGTCAGGTCATGATACCGAGCCTTTGCCTGAGAACCGAAGAGGTTCAGCATCGAGTGACCACTGTCTTGCCCATCATCCTGCTCCTGCTCCTGCTCCTCGTCTCCCTCCCTGCTAAAAAAAATGTCATCTCCTCCTACTCTCTCGCCCTGCTCTCCTCCACCTGCTGCCTTGGAGTGCTTGCGAAGTCTTCTTCAGCATCCCTCGTTTGTCGAGCAGCTTCAACCTTGTTACTGATCCTCCTCCTCCTCCTCTCGTTTCACCTCAAGATCCTTCATCGCCTCCTGCTCCCGCTCTCCAAACTTCACCTGTAAGCTCGTTCAGGCCTCCTCCTCCTCCTCCTCCTCCTCCTCCTCCCTTCTTTCTCTCCCTCCTCGCTCACTCACCTTTTTGCCTCCATGGCTCGCGATCCTTTCCAGCCTCTTCTGCTTCGCTTGCACAGACTTGAGCAGACCCTCTTTGTCCATCTGCTCGAGATCGTTCATGGCCTCCTTGTCCTGTCCGGTACCTTGAGGACAAGAAAGAGAGGAGGGGGACGAGAAAGAAAGAGGAGCGAGCGAGCGAGTGAGTGAGTGAGTGGGTGAGTGAGTGGGTGAGGGAGGGAGGGAGGGAGTGAGTGGTGCAGTAGGAGGAGGTAGAGGGTGGAGGGTGGGGCAGGTTTGTTTTGGCTCATGTGGACTAAGGCGAGGAAGAACCTTGTCTGTGTCGAGGATCGAAGGATGCACCCCCTTTGCTCCCCTGCAGAGGCCTCAGCACCTCCCCAGCACGACGTCACTCCCACCTGCTCTCCTTCCTCGGGGAAATCCCTTCGCTCTTCCTCACCTTCCGGATCAGCGAACCAACCTTGGCCCCGACCTGAAACAGAGTCAGACGCAGGAGGCGGCACTCTGAGGAGGAGGCGGCACAGTCATGGGGGAGCGAGGCGAGCAGAGCAAGTAGGGAGCAGGAGGTGAGGAGGAGGAGAAAATATCGTGGTAAACCTTATCCCCAAACATGTAGCGGATGGAACCCTTAGCAGGCTTTGAAGGTACCTTGGCTGTAACATAGTGAGCAGACGGAGGAGGAGGAGGAGGAGGAGGAGGAGGAGGAGGAGGAGGAGGAGGAGGAGGAGGAGGAGGAGGAGGAGGAGGAGGAGGAGGAGGACCTTTCGGCTGGGTCGACTCAGATTCCTTCTTGAGCGCCTCGTTGATGATCTCGAGAGGATTCATCTCCTCTGGATGTTCTTTCACAGGGTGAACGACTTTGGGTTGAGCTTTGGCGATTCCACCCTAACACTGAGCTGAGAGGAGCCGGAGAGAGAGGAAGAGAGGAGGAGAGAAGAAGAGGAGGGAGGAAGAGGATGGAAGGAGAGGCGGAGGAGAGGAGGAAGTGCGAAGGGACGAGGAGGGGATGTGAATAAAATTGAATCAGGGGAGGAGGCTGTTTGACCCTACTGGTCGAGGTGAGGAGAGGGAGAGGATAGAGGATACCTTTCTGCTGTGATCTACAGCGAGCTGTTGGGAGGAAGGGACGGCAAGATGCTGCTCGTTCAACTTCGCGAGTCTGCACACAGGTGAGAAGACCCAGCTCAGACGGACGAGGTCGGCGAACCTTTCAGCAGCGACCCGGCGGTGGTTTTCCATCCTCTTGTCCTCGACTGACTTCGATTCTCTCTTCATTTTCTCTTCGTCGTATGCCTTGTTGATGATCTTCAGAGGGTCGATGACGTGCCAATCCTTCTTCTCATCACTCCTGCTGAGACTCGTCACACTCGGGAGAGAGGAGATCGGCAACGGATCAACCCCGACATGGGACTCACCGATGTTTGTGAACGACGATTGACTTCTTCACTTCTTTCTCTTCTCTCACGGCCGGATGAATCACTGGCGCATGCTCAGGACTCTTCTTGACGGTTTCACGAGTTTTGCGTTCTGATGACTCTGCCTCCTTCATCAGCGCTTGGTCGATCACTTTCAGCGGATTGATCTCCTTGATTGCATACTTGGCAACACTTGGCTTCTTCTTCGCAGCAGAAATGTTCCCCGCCATGACCTGGTGCTGTTGTTCGCTCTTAGTCACCGGGTCAGACTTGGTCGGGTTCTCAACTTTCAGGTGAACAGCAACATGTTTCTCAACGCGCTCCGCCGCTTGCGTTGCGATCGAAGAACCAACATGCGGTGTGGTCGACTCCGCCGCTGCTGACGATGAACTGGAGGAGTTCAAGTCGATCAGGCTGTTCAGAACAGCGCTGGATGCATTGGAAGCAACAGAGTTCTGCTTGCTGTCATGTGGGCGAAGGGACGATCTGTTGAAAGACCTGCCGTAGTGGAAGTACTCCTCGTCCTCCCTCGCGAGCCTCAACACATCATTCAATGTCTTGTCGCTGAGGTAACCATCGCCCCTTGCATATCTCTCACCAGAGCCCTTTCTCAGAGTCGCGTTAGTCGCATTGAAGTCCTTTACAACTCGTGAGTCGCTCGACTTCAGCGCCAGACTCTGTCCTTTCTCTACGAAAAAATCCCTTTCCTCCGCCTTGTGTGGAGTGTTCGTGCCCAGGGCAAGATGGGATGGATGATGACGCTCTTTGCTCCCAAACCCCTCGATCTTGTGCTTCAGCGACTGAAGATCGTTGTCTTCCTGCTGTTCTATGTGCTTCAGCTCCATTCTCAGCTCCCGAGACTCCCTCGCGTTTCCTTGATCCTCCACTCTCACATCTCCTCCACCCGAGTGCGCCTTCGTGACATCATCGTCGTCTCTTCTCTTCACTATCAAGTTTTTCAGCGCCATGGTGTGAAGGCGGTCTTTAGCCGCCATGACAGCCTGTGGCGAAGCTCCCACGATGGTGTCTCTTTGCTCCTTCTCCGTGGGCACTTTCAGATGAGTTTTGAGTACCGAGCCCTGGTCACCTATCTGTTTCTGCAGGGAACTGAGCTGTTCTGCTAAGATCTTTGCCTTCAAGACAGCCTCGGCGCGATTAATTTCGTTGATTTCCTTTCTTCGGGCAATTGCAGCCCTCTCCTTTGCGACTGTGTCGGAGACATACACGTTGCTTGACGAGAGGATCACATTATCATCGTACCCCTTGTACACCAATCCGTCATCTCTTTGACTGTAGAAGTAAGAAACTAGTCCAACAAGTCCCAAACAAGCGAAGAACACCACCAGTCTGCGGTACTTCGCCACCTTCTCCGCACCCGACGACATACTTGCTTCAGCCATCCTGTCCGACGGATCGAGTCCTACAACAAGCTTCTGTACATTCCCGTTACCTGCTCCCTCCTCCCTTTCCCATCGCCACTGCCATGCCACGGAAATAGGTCTGCACCGTTACCAAAATCGTTATCCGTTACAATGACCCGTTGGGCCAACCTTTTACAAGATGTTTTTTTGTAGAAGTCGGAGGGGGTGGTACAAATCAAAAATCCAATAATTCAACCAAAGGGTGGGTGGTCTGCTGAAAACAAGAGGGTGGGTAAACGGTCTTGATGCTGACCACCGTCCCTTTCTAAAGACTTGGACTATTGAGGGTACTTTGATTCGGTGGGGTAGTCACCCCAGGGGGTCGAAAAGGACTGATCCCTCCATACATAGAGAGGTGTATCGTTGTAGGGGTGGGTACTTCAAAAACTCAAGGTGGCGGTGGTGGGGTAGTGACCCTTTGGGTGGGGGCCGGGGCCCACGGGGGGGTAGTTGGGGTACAACTCGATGAGATGGATTGTTGATGGCCGAGGGTGTAGGGCCGAAGAGATGGAGGGAGGGGGAGGAGGAGGAGGAGGTGGAGTGCGCGAAGATGGCAAGCGAGTTGAAGGACGGGAGACTTACGCGATCTTGTGAGATGCATCATGCGTGAAGGAGAGTAGAGTAGGCGGTTGAGAGAAGGAAGAACAACCTGAGCGCCTGTTCAAACCTGTAAGGTCCTTTCAGGACATTGAGCTTGTGCGAGCGCTGCGAGGCCTCGAAATCCTGCAAGAATGGAGCAGCTGGACACAATGGTCAGAAGTCTAGAAGAGAAATTTGAAACGCTCTCTGCAAACGTTGAGTTGTATCAAGTACCAACTTTGGCCATCACCGAGGGCCTTGAAAAGATCGGGAAGAGGGAGATCTGCAAGATGTCACCGAACAACAACGTGCTCCATGATCTCGTCCAAGATTGCTGCACCCTGATGGACCGTGTCGAGAACGCGCTCACAGCCATCGTCCATCAAGAGACCGGCTATGCAGAGAGCTTCCTGGGGGGCAATGGGGCGGGAGGGAGTGAATGCAACAAGAGTTCCTCTCCATCGACCACCGGCTTCCTCCTCGAGAGCTCGCTGGAGTGGACTGATACCTCGAGCACGCCCAACACATCGCAGACCTCGGGGAGTCAGAACTCGTCGCAGAGTTACCTGGTCAGCAACAGGTGCCTGGAGGCGGAGGGTGCCCGGGCTCTTGGACTGACTCTTGATAAGGTACTTGAGCAAATCGCAGGTCCTGTCTTGGGCTGGAACGATGCTGGACGACAACTTCGAAGATTTTCAAAGCCTCGAGGATGGTTGTGTCTTCGGGCGCTTGCTTGATAGGTTGTTCTATGGAAAGTTTCCACTTGAAAAGGTACCAAAGTTCCTGTGACGATGCGCGATAATGATGATGATTATAATGATGGCGTGATGATGCAAACTGTGCTTTGTTGATTGCAAGTCGGCAAACCTATGCACTGACGAGCTTCGTTTTCAAGCTCTGGATTGCTACAACAGAGAATGGCATGAAGCAGAATTTCAAGGTGATCCAAGCCTTTCTGCTCAAGAATCAGTGCAACTACAAGCTGAAGATGGAAAAGTGATGTTGATCTGTCTGTGGCTCCACCTGATTTGCATGTGATAGACTTTGCAAGAGGGCGAATCCTGGCAAAAGTTCCGACGAATGTTACAAACTGTGAGCTGAACCATCTTACAACTCCTGCCGTAATGTTTGCAATACGGCAGATACCAGTGGATATCGAGCAGGTTTGAAAAGTGCCAAGAGAATCGTCGAAAGGATGGTGAGGCATGATGCATGATTGCATGCAAGATGTGCTGACTTGAGAGCAAGCTTCGGTGATGAATGGCCATTACTTCGATATGGAGATCCCCTACGATCCCCACGAGCGCAAGAAGCTGATCACGAGGAAGGAGTCGCTGCTGCGATCGCCGGCCAAGAAGAAGCAGGGGGAGCAGGAGGGCACAGCGTGCAGGAGATGCAGAGGGTGCGGGCACACGAAGGCAGAGCATGTCAAGGCGCTAGAGTTCTCCCCAGGGACCAATAGGAAGAGCCCGGCTCTCAAGTTCAAACATCCGGCGTGCACCTGTCACATGCAGGAGGCTGAGTCGGTCAAAGAAGAGTTGGACGAAGAGGTCAGTATGTTCCTGACACCTCGGAGGGATGCTGTAGAGGAGCATGGGGGGGGCAATGTACATCAAGAGCGGGAGGGAAGCAAGGAGGTCGAGGGATCCACAGAGCAGCAAAAGGAGAGAGGGGATGATATGCACACGGCCGACCTGAGAAGGAGAGGAGAAGAAACGGGAACCGGGGGAGGGACAACCAAGACGGCAGGGCAAGATGATCAGACGAAGGAGCTCGTACTTCCTTGTCAGAGACAGGAGGACGGCGGGGATGTTAGGAAAGAGTGCGAGGCAGAGGACGAAGGGGAGGCGATGCTAGGGAAGCAGTCAAGAGGATGTACCGACTCTATCTACTTAGCCAGTGGAGGGATGGAGGTGGGGACGGACGGCCTGCGGTCCAACGAAGAAGGAAAGGAAGGGAGCGATGGTTCGTATGCTTGTGCTTTACAGACCTGCATCTGACTTTCCTGGAAGCAGGAGACTCTTGCCACTCGGTTGTTGAAGATGTGAACGTCACCTACGACGCGGACGATGGCAGGAGCAGCCGACTTTCTTCGTCGACCGACTCGGCCAACGAGTCGGAGGAGAGCGAGGGGTTAGCGGACGAGGCGGACTACAACAATGAGGGCGACGATGAGGAGATGCGGTGGAGGCTGGTGCAGACAGGGCGAGAGAGCGAGAGGAGCGGTACTCTGTCAGCGTCTCAGCACGATGATTGTAACGACAAGTGGATGGATGGCTCGCCCATCGCTCCCTCCTACTCCCCTGCCAGCTCAGCTCTGAGTCTACCTCCCTCGCTGCGTCTTGGAGCAAACATGTCCTCTCCTCACTACTCCGCCAGCCCTGTCAGCCTGGGGCTCAAGAAGTTGGGCCTTGGCCTGTGCCTTTCGAGTCCGCGGGGGAAGCTGAAGCGCCTGAACACAACCGTGATCTCGTGAGTCAAGTTTGACAGCTGGCTGGCGAGCGCGACTGACTGCTGCTGCCTGCTCCAGGCCCCGAGGAGGACGATGTATCCAGTACAAGAAGGAGTTGCTGTCGATGGAAAACTCAGAGACAAGTGACTTGTCAAGTTCTGAGTCCTTCAATTCGATGACTCCTCGCTCTATCGTCACCGAAGGTCTTGTCAACGAGAAGTTCGAGGTTCTACCTCCTCCTCCGCTGTTCGCTTCCCCGACCTCTCAACCTCTGATCCTTCGCTTTCCTTCAAGATCTTTTCTCGTCCTTCCTGATCTTTGTTCCTCCCTTGACCGATCCCTTCTATCTCTCTGCTTTCCCGCTCTCACCCGATCCTCCCGTGACCTACATTGCAGCTCCTCAACAAGTCAGCAGCTCCTGAGGAGGTTGAGGATCCTTCCCCAGTACATGCCGAAGAAGACGAATCTACGGGCCAGAGTATCATTTCCTCCCCCTTCCTCTCCTACTCCCTGACTCTTCCTCTTCCAGACGACAACCCGCAGTGGCTACATGGCACCCTCCAGGAGACCGCGCTGTCCTCCATCGCTGACTGCGACTCCTCAGGAGGAAGCCAGCCCTCGAACCTCGAACGAGACTTGTCGGGCACGAGCAGGAAAAGTCCTGGGTTGCAGGGGAGCGACGGGAAGGCAAAGGAGGAGGAGGGAGAGGACAAGGGACTGAAGTTCGAGGTCTCATGCAGCTTGCTGTCTGAGGTGGAAGAGAGTGCATGCGGGAGACGAGAGGACGGAATGTCGCCAGAGGAGGTGCAGCTTTCAAGGAAGGGCGACGAGGCAGCTCGAGCAAATGAGACAGGGGTTGAAGGGGTCCTGCAGCAGGAGCTGCTGAAGAAGGGAAGGCAAGAAGGAGACAGTGGGGTGAGGGAAGAAGTGAGTGAGATGAAGGAGGAGCAGAGCGTGAAGGAGAGAGATCGGGCGAAGGATGCTCCCTGCATTCATTTGGGTCATGGAGTGAAGACGAGAGGACGGGGTTGTCTGCGGCAGTTTACCCTGCTAGCAGCAGGAGCTCTTGGAGGAGGGCTCGCCGTGGCGATCTCCCTGCACTCCATGCAGCAAGGGGACGCAAACATGATGCCGTTGCTAGTGTGACAAGTAGGACAGCGTGAATTACGAACTTTGGTTCTGTTATGTTGAGTTTGAGTGAAGTACGAACACGGACCGCGAAGTGACTTGATCACAACCCCTCCCTCCCTCCCTTCTCCTCCTCCTCCTCCTCCTCCTCCTCCTCCTCATCATCATCAGCCTGACCTATCTTCCCTGACTTCCTGCTTTCCCTCCTTAAGATGAGAGGGGTCAAAATGGATGACACCACCGGTACATTCTAGGTTCATTTTTGGGGTGGTGAGAGGTATTTTTGCGACGACAGCATGAACGACCTGTTTGACTGCTGCTCTCCCCAGAGGGCCCCGGACTTGGCGATGCAGGCAGAGCAGAACAACGTTCCGCGTCCTCCTCGTCAGCAGCCCACCAGGTTGCAGGCGACCATGAGCTCCCCCACAGCTCATCGCGATGATCTGAAGCGCCGCAAGCCCTCTCCTCTCGGGCTCGTCCTGGTCATGGACGAGGATGACGTTGTTGTAGAGAGCATTGCGCGCGGTTCCGTCGCTGGCATGTGAGCATGACGATGGGGGAGCCTGCACATCCTGACGGCCTCGCAGGGACTCGAGGATCCGAGCAGGAGACTTGCTGCTGGCAGTCGATGGAGTGGAGATCAAGTCGGTGGTACAAGCGCAGCACCTCCTGGTAGGGGAGGCGAATTCGCACGTACAGCTTGTGCTGGGGAGAGTGGATGAGAAAGGAGACACGCAGAGTGTGAGGAGATTCTTTGTGACTTTAATCCGTGAATGAGGGAGAGAAACAACTTCGCAAGCAACATCCTACATCTTCGTCAGCTTCCCTCTCCTCCCACCGTGCTTGTGTCATCGCTGGGTTCTGTAGAAGAGGTCCGTTCAAGCTCCGACGATTCAGCTTTCTTGCCCTCCTTGCCTCTTGCAAACTGCCGCTCTCCTTGTTCGCGCCATTCTTCCTCCTCTTCCTCTTCCTCTTGCCATTCCTGTTCGTCCTCGCCGTCTGGTTGCTCCTCCCGTTCCAGATCGTTGTCCTCCCCATCTTTCTCCTCCTCCTCCCCCCGCTCCTCCTCCTCTTCCCAACCCTGCTGCTGCTGCTGCTCCTGTGTCCGTCCCTTGGATCGAGAGAGGCGAAGCTGTCGTAGAAGTTCCATCTCTTCCTCGAGGTCGTCCCCTGCGCCTCCTCCCTCGTCGTCTTCGGGGCTGGTGATGGTGGGCATGGAGTGAGCGACAAGCATGCTGTTCAAGCTCTTGAGGAGATGAGGGTTGTCGGAGGAGATGATGTCAACGGTCTCGGGGTCACTAACAGCTTCTGAGAGCTGCGACGCGGTGATGGCGCTTGCTTGTAAGAGCTTGTCGAGAAGCTGAGACGAACAAGCGTTGATGAGCAGCGATGGAGGGAGGGGGCAAGAGAAAGAAGGAGGGAGGAGGGGGATAGCGCAAAGAGGAAAGGAGGAAAGGACGGAGGAAGGGAGAGAGGAGGAGGAGGAGGAGGAGAAACGCGGTGGTGGCAGTTGAGAGTAAAAAAGCACGAAGCAAACAAAGGAAAACGTGAGAAAAAAAGTCAAGAGGTCGAGGTTGAGGTTGAGGTTGAGGAAGTTGGAGTGGGAGTCGGAGTTGGAGATGTCCAGGGAGTGGAAGAGGGGAGAGGGAGAGGGAGAGGGAGAGGGGGGAGGATCAGTCACCTTGCAGGTCTTGTCGACATTCTGGGTGGTGTGGGAGGAGGCTGTCCGAAGCCAGGACCTGACGGTGGACACGCTATCTTTGCATCCCTTGAGCCAGTGAATGACATCTTGTACAGCCCGTTGGAAGTCCTCCTACTCAGTGTTAGGGGAAGAGAGCAGAAGGAGGTGAAGGAAGATGAGAGGAGAAAAAGGTGGAGGAGATGGAGGAAATTGAGGAGGAGGAGGACGAGGTGGAGGAGGTGGAGGAGGATGTGATGGTGGTGGTGGGGTGGTGGTGGTGGAGGAGGAGGATGACGTGGTTGTGGTGGAGGAAGAGAACGGAGGAAGAGGAGAAAGGGGAGGAGGGGAAACAGGAGGAGGAGATGGAGGAGGAGAAAGAGGAGGTGGAGAAAGAGGAGGAGGAGGACCAAGCGTTTGCTGCAACTTACACTCTCCCAGACGACGTAAAGGATCTCTGAAGCGGACATCTGCCCGAGCTCGTTGTCTTTCCCTTGCACTTCTTCCTCGTCCTGGGGAGAGATGTCGACCTGCTGTCTCTGCCGGTATGGAAGATCAGCGGGAGGAGGAGGAGGAGGAGGAGGAGAAGGAGAAGGAGGAGGAGGAGGGTCAACCTGTCCGGCCTTGAGTGCTTCTTCAGTAATCCGTTCGAACCTTTCCTCCAGCGCCTTCATAAGAGTGAGAAGCGGACAAGAAAGAAGAATGTTCGATCACCCTGCTTGCTTGCGTGATCTCGTCGGCGTATGTTGGGCCGGAATATTTCTGGCGGTAGGGGAGAGGAGCAGGAGCAGGAGTAGAAGGAGGGGAGGAGGAGGACAAGGGGAGGAGGAGGACAAGGGGAGGAGGAGGACAAGGGGAGGAAGAGGAGAAGGGGAGGAGGAGGAGAGGAGCAATAGCGAGAAAGAAAGTCAGAGGAGCAGAAGGACGCAGAGGCAGAGGCAGAGGCAGAGGCAGAGGCAGAGGCAGGGAGGAGGAGGAGCAGGAGGAGGAGGAGGAGCAGGAGGAGGAGGAGCAGGAGGAGGAGGAGGAGGAGCAGGAGGAGGAGGAGGAGGAAACATGGTTAGACACAAGAGAAAAACTCAGCACATCAGAAACCTTCTGTCGCTCCCTGTCGATGAGATCTTTCGGGTCCCAAGTGACAACCTTCTTTTTGAGTGCGATTTCCACCTCCTCCGCCAGCAGGTTGTTTTCTTCGTCAGTGAGCTCTTGCGGGTTCACCTCCTCCTCCCTCTGCTCCCGTCAGCAGCTTGTTGGAACCCCACCTCCCCGTCCACTTTCACCTCGATCTCATCGCAGCCCATCTTGAGTTCGCCGTACAGCTCGAACCCCTGCTTCATGTCACCTTCCCTCCACGTTCTGACATCTCCTGCTCCACCTGCACGAACATCCTCTTTGTGAAGCAATCCATCGCCTTGAACTGCGTCACTCGGATGAATCGATACCTGAGCATGCAGTCATTGAGCGAAGGGGAGGGGCGGGGAGAGGGAGGGCAGCAGGGGACAGGAGAAGTCAGGCGACTAGCATGTGAGCAAAGATATGATAGAAGATGGCGGTGAAGAGAGATAGTGAGTGATAAACGAGTGAGTGAGTGAGTGAGTGAGTGAGTGAGTGAGTGAGTGAGTGAGTGAGTGATTGAGTGAGTGATTGAAGGGGGAGGGAGGGAGGGAGAGGGAGTAGCCTTATCATTTACCAGTCTTTCTCGATGTCTGTCGTTCTCCAGACGATCGAGCAGTGAGACTTTGGTATGATGTAGCCGTCCTGTGAGGTAGTAAACTCACGACTTTGCCAACGATCGGAGGATTTCGACCTCGGGCTCTTTGAAACCTCCCTTCTCATTGTCCTTGGGGAAGACGTATTGCTGTTGGGGCTGTGTCAGCTCTTCCAACAGCGTTGGAACCTCTCCCCTCCTCTCACTCTCGATTTTGCCCGCTCGAAATATTTTTCCTCAAAGCTCACGGTCTCGATATCAAAATCGAACCCTCGCATGTCCACCGCGCTCCACGGGCCCTGGAGGCAGAACAGCGTGAGAACATGGAAGAAGAAAACGAGACGCAACGAAGGCGCAGGGAGCTGAGAAGGAGAGCGATGCAGAGGCAGCAAGGATGAAAAAATCTGCAAACCTTCCGCGAGCACGATCCCTCAACAATCCAAGCTCCTGGGCTGCTCAAGACTCCTCCGCCATTCCGCATGCAGTAATGGGTCGGGCGAACTCTCCTCCCCCTCCCAACATCCACCACGAACCATCCTTCATTCCACGCCATCCAATCACAGATCGGCCTCTCCCTCCACTCCAGCAGGTCGGGCACCCTCACCCCGATGGCTGGCTGCAGCACTCGCACGCCTTTCCTGCTGGGAACGTCGTCGGTGTCCAACAGCTCGAACTGCTTGTCGCGCCATGGGAACACATGATCCAATGCCATGAAGGCGGGGCCTCGAATCCTGATCATCTGTCCATTCTGCCCCAGCTCCTCGAACCAACTTCCTGGCGCCTTCACTTGTACCCCTGTGAGATGTGTGTGCTTGCCCGGGTTCCTCCATCCCCCGTTCTTAGTCCTGCCGAGGAAGCGGAAGACGCCTGGAGGAATCTCTGACTCATCCTCAAGCATCTTGGGCCATCCCTCGTCCCAGCTAAGGTTGTAGATCCGCTCGTAGTTCTCGGCCTCGAGGTAATGGGTGGTCGGGCTGAACGGGTCGTCCAACCTGTGAGTCTCTCGTTGGAATATGAAATCGTCGCCATCGGAGGCGGCCTCCTGTCCGCCCGCCTCCTGTTCGACTTGTGAGAAGTTCACGATGGGTATCGAGTCTTCAAGGTGTAGACAAGGATCGACTTCCATCGAAAGGAAACTCAGATTAGTATGGTAGGAGATGTTCCTTTCAGCCCACTTCTTCAGTCCGTGTTTGCGGACAACTACTCCGCCTGCTCGCTGTCGTACACGTTTGGATCAGCATCAACACGCTTTCTAGACCAGAAGACCTGCACTTCAGAGAAGAAATTCTGCGCTTCTTTCTTCAGGGCGTCCAATGACTGAAAGGAAATGACAAACTGATAGATCGAAATCCATTGACATGACCTTTTTGTCTGTTGCAACATACTGTTGCGGCCTCTCGATCCATTCCTGTACCAAGTCAATCCAAACTTTTGACGTTTGATGAAGGAATGAAAATGATGAAAAACTTCAAGATCGATCATGACAAGTATCAGTACCTCCATCCAGTCATCTATATCCCAGCAATACCTGGGTGGATCAGAATATTTCAGCGCGATCAAGGTCAACAACCGACGAAACCTCCCACGATGAAATGTTTCTTCCTTGCCGACCTTCTTCAAATATTCAATCTGATTTCTCAACATTTGTGCCTGCATTTCTTTATCAATGAAGAGAAACCACAAGCTGAAAGGGAAAAAACCTCAAACTCTGTGCAGTTGTCAAACAAGGAGATGTTCAATCCGGCATCCTGCAAGACCTTCGAATCATCTTCGTCGCTAACCACTTCTTGACTTCTTTCGCTCGTTTGGGCCCTTGAAACTCGAGGCTAAGTAAAAGGGGAGCATGAGTGACAGGCAGTGAAGGCAAAGACAGAGTTTGGCCTACCTGAGGTTCACCCCTTGCCCCATACCCAGAATCAGTCCGCTGCCACACGGCATGGAGTCAGGAGAAAGCGGGTTCAAGAGGTCCAAGAACTGACTCTTGACGAGCGGAAACCCTCACTCCCACGTTCTTCATATCTGCGAGGTGCCTGCTGCCTCGAGCTAAATCTGGACGGCTCCCGCCCTCGCACACCAGGTTGGTTCCTATCCGAGCCTGCCGATGGCTGTGATGACCTGTACTCAACGTTGCCCTGACAAGAGCTCAGCCTTCACTTTCCGCCCTATCCTGCCACCTGACCTCGTGGTAAGCCCTCACTATGTTCGGGGTATTGCTCCCTCCCCCGCCGCTCTCTCCGCCTCGCCTGCTCACACTCTGTGAGGGTTCGTTGGATGTGCAGCCTGAACTAACCAAGAAGAGTCTCTTCCTCCACGGCCTCTGGAGTCTGAGAATGGTCGCTCCCTCTCATGATTCGGCCGCCGACCTGCTCGAATTCATGAGCATCTTCAAGTAAGCAACATTATCTCAACTTGGAAATTCATATGAAGAGGCACTGTAGTTCCGGTCCATTCTACGACTTCCACCCCTTAGATGCAAAGGATTGGATTCAGATGGGAGAGAATGTCGGTGAGGCTCCAACAGTCTCCCCATGAAATCACGTTCTATCACGGGGCTGAATGCCAGGAAGCGATCGGAATACGTTGCAATCTTCGTCGACGCCCTTGTGGGCAAGGCAAGCGCAGAAATCATCAGTGAGAGGATCCTTAGTGGCATCCCACGAACCCTTTCTGCCTGAAGTTTCAGCATCCTCTGCCTCCTTGAAGTCGCTCGAAGCTGATCAGAAGTCGCGCTGCAGCCCTCCATGCTGCGTCCCAGGTTGCCAGTCACCATCAGTGGAGAAATCCGCGCCCGCGCTCCTCCAACAAACTCTGGCACTCACTGCCATCAGCCGCCATGTTCGCTTCAAACTCCGTCTCCTCTCATCCACTCTCTCGCGCTGCTCTCCCTCCCTTGCCTTCATACCCTCTCCTCCAGATGCGGCCGTCGAGCCATGGCGCACTAGCTAGCACGCAGGGCGATGCAAGGAGATCATTCATTGACTGAGCTCAGTGAATGTCAATGGGCCCCAGACTGGCCCGAGACCCGGGGCCCGGGCACTGCGGGGGGACGAGGGCACACGCTATATCGGGTCCAGGAGCGGCAATGAGTGGGCGATGAGGTGGGAGGAAGGTTGCTGGTCAAGATCAGCAGGGGACATGCAGCTGGGTGTCCGCATAGAGGCGCTAGTGGTGGCTCCTCGGCTCGGTGCGAAGAGCGATGCACGTCGATGGGTAGTGTCGTGCCTGTCTGCTGCCCTCTTGGCCATCGCGATCGTCGCCCTGGCCTCTTCAAGAAGCGATGACGCGCTCCCTCAGCAGCTTCTGCAGAGCACCTACACCTATCCCTCATACCCAGCCATGCAGACGACCTATAGCCCGACCTATAGCCCGACCTATGCGCCGTCGCCATACAGTTACAGCTACACATCTTATGCTGCTCCCTATGCTTCTTACGGATACCCTTACGTCAACCCAAGCCCAGCCCCCAGCACGGGCTATGTTGCCGCTCCATATGCAGATGCATCGAAACCTGCGCAGCCTTGGAGCGAGGAGAGGATGGGGTTCGAAGTTGGTCGGCTCATGCGCATATCCAAGCTCAACACATTGGCAGAGAGGAAGATCGCATCTGCCGTGTCCTCGCTAGCTGACCAAGTCGCCGGGGTGGAGAACGAGCTCAAGTTCGTCCAGACTCATCAGGGTGAAGACGTAGGGATCGCTGGCCTGCCGGGTCCCCCGGGTCCCCCTGGCCCTCCTGGCCCTGAAGGCATGAGAGGTGGGTGTGGAGGATGGAGGAGCTAGTGATCAGAACTGACGAAAGGGCGATGGGCAGGTGAGAAAGGAGATCCAGGCTTTCCGGTGAGTTCTCCAAGATTGTCCCCACGACTCAGTTGAGGGGCTGAGAAACTTTGGTAGGGTGCGCCTGGAGTACCGTCGTTTGTTGGGTACCAGTATCAATACCCTTTGAGCTATTCCCCCTACGCCGTCGCCCCTGTTAGCAGGAGCCCTTACGTGGTAGAAGAGGAGGGCATGAAGGAACTTCTTGCTCACTCTGACATGATAGGCCGAACGGTATGAGCAAGGTCCTGAAGCGTCTGCTCCCACTGTGGAACCAAGCTACAAGCCTGCTCTTGGTGAATGACGGTCCTGTCAACATGAGAGGATGCTGATGGGCTTGTTTGTAGTCGAGAGGGAGCAAGAGGGTGTGAGTCAGATGATGAAGTCGAAGGAGGTTGCAGCGCACAGAGTCAACTTGCAGCAGCAGGTCGGACCTCTCGTCGTCCTCTCCATCCTCTGATTCACGAGCAGGTCAAGGCGCAGACCCTCCGGCAGAAAGCCTTGGAGAGGGTCTCCCTGAAAGCGAAGCAGCGCAACTCATCCCAGCCTTCCATCTACATGGTGAAGGTGCCGGCGAACTTGAAAGCAGGGCAGGTGACGTGGCGCCTGTACCTGGCTTCTCTGCTAACCGTGTCATCAGAATTTCGAGTTTGACGTCCCTGGCCATGGCCTTGAGAGCGTTGTGCTACCTGTTGGAACTGCAGGAGGTCAGACGATAGAAGTACAGATTCCTGCAGCTCGAGGTCAGGAGAAATCCAAGAACAGGCGGCGGCGGCGGCAGCAGCAGCAGCAGCAGCAGAAGGAAAGGACGGACTTAAAGAGAAAAGTCACAGTCCCGAAGGCTCAACCTGATTCCTCCGCTCAAGCACCGTCCCGTGAGTTCGACCAACTGAACAGCAAGATCGTACAACAGGTTCTCCTCCTCCTCCTCCTCCTCCTCCTCCTCCTCTCTTACCCTCTCCACTGAACCTCGCAAAGTCGCAGGAAATCCAGAAGCTGGAGAATCTGTTTCACCCCCCCCCCCCAGTCCCCCCTCGGGTTTCCCAGCCTCCCCCCCCCCCCCCCCCGGGATGGTGATAGTTCCAGCAGATGATGACGAAAGATGCCATTGTTGGCGCAAAGGATGCAGTTGTGCAGGCGCAGAAGCTGCTCCGCATGCAGCAGGAGGAGCAGGCGCGTCGCAGCTCCAACGACGTGAGCTCTTCTCCTCTGAGTCTGGTCGTGCGTGATGGTTGTGCAGTTGCCGAGGATGCCGCGGCTGAAGATGTCGTTCAGGAGGTAGAAGATGTCAGAGTCTTCTCCAGATCGTCCTTGTGAGGAGCAGAGAACGATGAAATGAGAGAGGAGTGGAGGCGGGTTGGAGTTGGGGCAGGGGGGGGGGGGAGAGAAGAGCGGAGGGCTGTGATTCTTCGCACTTGTCTAGTTATTTGTCTACTTGTAACATGTTATGTACATACTCGAACATTCGCGCTCAGTACCAAACGCGGATGCAGCTGTCGTAGGAGGCGCTGTACAACCTGCTGCCATCCATGGCGATGGCATAGACGGCGCCGACATTCCCCTCCAGCGTCCTTTCCATCTCCCAGTTGTTGATGTCCCACACGCGAATCAGCGAGTCGTCGAAGGCTCCGATGAGCTTGCGGTCCACCACGAGAAGCTCGTTGATGCCTGAGCGACAGTGACGGGAGAAGATGTCAGCAGCAGGCAGGCGGCAGGGTGCAGCAAGGGAGGAGGAGGAGGGAAGGAGGGAGTACAGGAGGAGGACTGAACCTCCCGAGTCCCATCGCAGCGTCATCTGCAGGAGCATGCTGTTCAAGTCCCAGACTCTGATGTCCATGAAGCCCGAGATGAGGAGGTTTTCACTCAGCACCATCGTGCATACTCCGCCATCATGTCCAGTCAGCAGCTCCGACGACTTCAAAGTCTTCCTGCAGCGTACAGGCTCTTCAGGACCGGGAGTGATTCAGTACCCCGGAGCCTCACCTGTTCCACAGCCTGATAGTCCCGTCGAAGGATCCACTGAAAACTGTCGAAGGGTGAGAAGCTAAAACCACTCGGTTGACTCACTCGGTTGACTCCGTCTTTCCCTTTCCCTTTCTTTTTCCCCTCCCCCCTAACAACACCACGACCCTCTGCCCTCTGCCCTCTGCCCTCTGCCCTCTGCCCTCTCTTTCTCGCTCATTCTCCCTCTCGCTTCCCTTCCCTCCCCAATATCCCGAGCTCCTCTCGCCCCTCTTCTCTCCTCATCACACCATGTTTGTCGTTGGCCTCCAGCGCACAAACGGCTTTCCTGTGCATCGCCAGGGTCTGCGAGGGTACAATCTCAACATCCTCCTTGCCCGAGTTGAACTCCTTCATCTCCCAGATCTTAATCTCCCCATCGTCACTCCCAGAGAACAGTTGTCCACCCACGACCTTCAGGGCAAACACAGACTTCACGTGCCCAGCAAGCACGTGCAGGCAAGTCCAGCCCTCCGTGCTCCACACACAGACAGTCCTGTCGACGCTCCCGCTGAACAGCAGGTCCATCGCCACCTCTAGTGCGCATACTGCTCCTCGATGCCGACGAAGCTGATGCTCGCACGTGCAGCTGCGAGTGTTCCAGACCCTGATCGTCGTGTCCACAGACCCAGAGATCAGCCTATCCTCGTGAATCTTGAGCGCCTGGACCTCCTCGCAGTGCCCCTGGAGGACATGGCGGATCCGGCTCCCCTTCATCAGCCAGCTCCTCTTCCTGGGCAGCAAGACTCTCTCCGATAGCTTGTCGAGGCGGTACATGTGCTTCGATCTCGCCGGCACCAGCTGCCACATGGCAGCCTCGGTGGTGAGGGCCTTCAAGAGAGGCTGTTGAGAGATGAAAGATTCTTTCTGGTTGATCTCTAGCGCGAGGTACTCCCCGTCCATGAGCGGGAACCGAACGTGGTGGAGCAGCCTGATCCCCCTTACGCTCTCCTCCTGCTTCTTGTCCTCCTCCTTCTCCTGCCACCCCTGCTCCTTTCCGCCCCCCTCCTTGTCCTCCTCCTCCTTGACCCTGTCCTTGTTCGCCTGCTCTATCCAAGTGAGGAGTATCTCGTAGATCTTCTCCTCTGACTGGCACACGAGGTCGTGCGACGCGAGGATGTCTGCCAGGATCTCTTCTTCTGTTGCTAGGAACCCGGCGCGATCGGCGACCCTCTCGAAGTTCTCGAGCACGTACCTCATCGCGCTCTCCGCAATGCTGGACAGGCCGCAGCTGCGCGACCCCTTGAGGATGGACCAGCAGTTGTCGTCAGAGATCTTGGAGGAGGCGATCGACAGGATGCAGTCGCTCAGCATCGCGATGTCAAGGCGATCGGAGACCTTTCCGACCATGAACATCTCCTCCACCGAGCTCACATGCACGCTGCCGAGGTAGATGAAGTCAACGACTTTCGCGAAGATGTCAGGGTCCATGTCGTACAGGGCGATCTCATTCGTTTGCCCCTCCTTGAAGGAGCTCAACAGCATCCTCCTCAGCACTGGGCTCACCGACGCCAGCGCCACCCTGTGCGCTCTGAACTCTCTCTCCGCGCATACTCCCTGCGCATGCTCGTGGGACTTTGAGGAGACACTGACGGTGATGTCGCAGAGCTCGTCATGAAGATACATCTCTCTGAAGGCCGCGCCACAGTTGTCGAGCTACAGAGCAGCATGAGATAGCTAATGGTGGAGACCCTTTGATACCCTCTCCCTCCCTCCCTCCCTGACCTCCCTCCCTGACCTCCCTCCCTGACCTCCCTCCCTCACTCGCCTCCCTCCCTCCCCTCCCTCCCTGACCTCCCTCCCTGACCTCCCTCGCTCCCTCGCTCCCTCGCTCCCTCCCTCGCTCCCTCGCTCCCTCGCTCCCTCGCTCCCTCCCTCCCTCCCTCCCTCCCTCCCTCGCTCGCTCCCTCCTTCCCTCCCTCCCTCCCTCCCTCCCTCCCTCCTTCCTTCCCTCCCTCCCTTGCCTGCTCCTGTCCTCATCCTTCTAGACGGCATGCCTTCAAGGACATCTTCCTCCACCTTCGACCCCCTTCAGCCAACATCTTCCCTGCCTAGCTGCTCCTGGTTTCATGCACTCTCCTCCTCCTCCTTCCTCCTCCTCCTCTGCGTCCTCGCTTCCAATACCGGCATTGCATTCGCTACGACGTCCATGGGCGGCCTGCAGAACGCAGGAGGTACAATGTAGATATGTGTATATACCGGTACATTTCATAGATTTTTGATGGGTTGGGGTACAAGCGCTGGGTGGAATAATGTCGGGGAGAGCGGAGGTGGGCAGAGACCTTCCTAACAACCTCCTCCCCCCTTCTCTCTCCTCTCCTTGTCTCTCCCCTCCCCTCCCCTCCCCTCCTCCCATGTCTCCTCTCCTCCCCTCTCCCCTCCTCCCTCCTCTCTCCTCTCCTCTCTCCTCTCCTCTCCTCTCTCCTCTCCTCTCCTCCCCTCCCCTCCCCTCCCCTCCACTCCACTCCACTCCACTGCCCTGATCCTTCCAGCTCCTCACGACATACCATACCTTCCAGTTTCTCCCTTCGTCTTTCATGAATCCCTCCTGTTCTCTAGTACATGGGAGCCGATCCTGCATTGTGCTCCTCCCTCCCTCCCCTCCCTCCCTCCCTCCCTCCCTCCCTCTCCCGATCTATACTCTTCCTTTTGGTGCTCACCACCACACAGAGGCCCCGGATCCCTAGCGTCCACCGGCTGTACGTCAAGTCCTCCCAAGACCCCGAGAGCCGAAGCATGCAGATGTGCTTCATGCGGAGCCTTCCTCTCCCGACCTTGAACCCATGCAGCAAGCAGCCGATCGGGTGAGATCCTTGAAAGCGCGACCTCGCCATCTCGAACCGATCTTCGTTCTGCAGGCCAACCTTGCTGGTAGCTCCTCCTCTCTACGAGCCCCTCCTGGTGCACCCCGTCGAGTTCCTGGGCCCTGTCGTAGGGCGTGACAGATCGAGGCCATGGCGGTTGAGCGGGGAGGGGAGTCTCGAGGAGAAGAGGGAGATCGCCAAGCATGAGGAAAACGACATGGATGGGGAGCAGGAGGACACCGTCGGGATGCAAGTGAGCAGATTTTCACTGACGAACGTTGGTGGGGATGACTCTGAGGTCAGGTTCTCCTGCTGTCGCTCACCAGCCAAGTGCTCGATCTGAAAGAGCGCCTCGTTGCTCGGATGAAGGAGGCAGGAGACTTCGAGGCGTGCGCCAGGAGTTTCGAGCAAGATCCTCTACCTGCACAGTATGTCACCACATGTAAGAGGGTTTGCATGCTGAGGTACGGAGCGCTGCTGCATCTCTTCACCGCAGCAGGCTCTCCTTCAGATGGAGATGTATGGTGAGCTTTGTAGGGGTTCATTGCCACTTGGTGTCTGATGTGCCGTCAAGCCCTCCTCCTAGCCCTCAAGGGTATCGATGGACGAGCCTCGATCTCTACGTGAAGACGATTGAGATCCGTGCGTTCAGAATCTGATGGAGCCTCAGGTCGTTTGCAGAGGATGCGCCGCCAACAGTGGACGTCAAGAGCTGACGCAAGACCTGGCTGACTGCTTCCTGTTCAATCTCTACCTTCCCTTGATCAAGGATCTTACGGTCCTCATGCTTGCTCTGTAACAAAGTGCCAGAGTGTTGTGTGACCCTGGACTCCAGAGAGATCTACGAGGGGAGTCACGAGACATTGGCAGGAGCGAGGTGGAGTGTCTCGTGTGGATGCTGAGGCTGCTAGTGCCGGCAAGCAGGTGAGGACAGGCGGGTCACAGGGAAGAAACCACCTCTGACTTGTCTCTGAAGCTTGCGATCCTGTAACGCTGCCGAGTTCTGCATGTCTGTTTCGGCGTTAGGATGGTAAGGGGGATCTTGTCAGGCAGTTCTGCCCTCACTAGTATGCAAAGGGAGCAGGAAGGGAACGTCGGAAGGGAAATCGTACGAGAGGCAATCGTTCAACATTGTAAAGTCACTTCCTCAAGGGAGAAAAGACCAGAGAAGAGAAGGCACAGATAGAAGGGGGCTCAAGACCCCACACCTGAGGACTGTAAGGTTTCAGTGTATAGTGCATGTTTGTAACAAGACTGTAAAGTTTGAGTTTTATGCCTTTTGCTTCTCGTCCGCTTTGCCGGCTGCAAGATCGTATCATGTCCAAATCTCTGCTCTCATACCGCAACTCACTGCTGGCGAGCTTCATGGTCGGAGGACGCCATCGTATGATGTCGCGGAACTCTTCGTAGGTAACCCGCCCCTGCCATGGAGCTCGACCAGACAGTCTGCATGATTGCATGAAATGAATACCTGTGGATCCCTTGTTGTAGCTTTGAACATCTCATCAATCTCTTCAGGCTGATGTGTTCAATCAGATGGAGGGGAAGGAGTGCGTATGATAGCACAGACCTTTGTCTGCAGATCCAGGAGGAGGAGGAGGACTGCGCGAACGTCCTTGGCCGTGATGAACCCGACGTCGTCAACGTCGAAGACCGAGAAAGCTTCTTTCAACTCTTCATCCGACAGCTCTTGTCTGCACAAACAAGAAAACTGCAATCACGACCACCATCCCCTCTTACTCCTCGTTATGACATCACCCTTTGTGCCTTGCTATCATCACCTAACATCGCAAACGTGAGAACAAAAGGCGATCGCGCCGTCCTAGCAAACCTCGACAAAGTCATCCAGCAGAATAGTCCCTGCTGTCCCTCCATCCAGGTCATCCGTCATATCTGCTATCAGCTCCTCCAGCTCCTCTTGTCCCACGACGATGCCGAGGATCTCTAGGACCAATCCCAGCTGCTCTGCCAGGATCAGACCTTCGCCTTCCGTGTCAACCTGGTTGAAGGCCTTGCGCGCTCTCACGTTAGCAGCAGGAGGAAAGAGCTCAGGATGAACGTCAACAGACCTCTGTGAATTTCTCAGCAAGGTCGTCGTCATCCTCCTCCTCCTCTTCATCCTCCTCCTCTTCCTCTTCCTGATAAATAGCGGGATCAGCTTATTTTGAAGGGAGAGTGGTCATGCCAGCGTTGCGCATATAACCTTTTGCTTTTTCTTGCCATTGACGTTCTTAGGGGAGGGGACGTGCTCGAAACCATTCTCCTCCTCCTCCTCCTCCTCCTCCTTGTGGTCAGCTCCGTTCGTCAGCCTGTTTCAAGCTCGTCTCAGCCATTCGAGTCAAAGCCCTCAATCTAGGTTTTCACGTGGGCTCCGAGGGGAGGGGAACAACAGGTCGTTGAGCTCCGTTGCTGGCATGACCTTCGTACACTCCGGCCGAATCGATTTCGATCTCCTCCCGAGCATTATGCGAACTCGTTCCTTTCTTCCCGCGCATCCCGCTGAGATGGCAGCCAGTACCTTGATATGCGAATGACTTTTTTTTGCTTCTCTGATTGCAAGGACAGGAAATGGAGGGGAAGGCAGGTGGAAGGAAGCAGGCACTGAGTAGATCGTACCTGACAATGTCAAATCGACCTCGTAGATTGAGTAGCTTGATGTAGACTGATAATGTTTTGTTGAGCAGGCACTTGCAATTTGCTAGCGATGAAGGCTATATAAGATAGAGTTGTTATTGCGTTGTTTGTATTTTCTCGTTTATTCATGATTCTCACAGAAAAAGAGATATTTCGACTTCACATTGCACACCACTGGGAAACTTCCTAAAGTTACTAGTGTACCAAATACAGAAACAAAAAAGGCAGCATTCAACAACTTTGTACAATACAACTCCAACAAATTGACCTTGAACTTGAAATAATAATCACGGCTTAACAAACTCGGCTGATCCCGAATCAATACAAGTTTTGCAAGCAGCTGAGAAGAATTGGGCACCATCGCGATGGTAACAACAGGATTTGATCACTAGTGCGCACATAACATGCTCCGTCCACTGTCGAAGGGAAACCTCAGAAAGGTCCTTTCACAAGGCAACGTAGCTCAGATCGAACATTGCGATCCTCGCACATCTGTGTCTTACTTTCGCTGGGATGTTTTACTTCCTGCTGACTGAAGTAAGAGAGTTGGATTTCGAGAGCTTGTGAGGCTTGGTTGGCTCGAAGATTGCAATGTTGCCATTCCTCAAGTGTGGTTTGCTTGCTACAGGGGATGGCTTATCTTCAGCTGAAAGCTGCTCAGAGCTCGAATCTCCTCTCACATCATCAACGCTGTGCAACGTCCAATCGAATGCAGACTTTAGAATTCCACCGAAATCCCCGAGATACGAGGTCAAGTCCGTCGTGATAGCAGGAGGGTGCGAGCCCTGCGAAACTGTTTGTACATTGCGGTAAACCTGAGACTGTTCTATCCAGTCCTCAACTTTCTTTCGGGAATTGTTTCCCGTCGGTACCATGAGAGTCTTCAAGTTGTCTCGTGACTCAGCAAGTAAAATGTAAGCCCATTCACAGACCGAGATTCGTCTAGAATGTCACAGGTAACGAATGAGGTCCAGTCTTTTGCGATCCAAGTTGCACTCACAGAAGATACAGATCCAAGCTTGTCGACGACGAAAGTTGCGTGCCAATATTTCGGGATAAGAAAGTACAGCCGATAACAAAGAATCTAGTGCCGCTATGAGAATCAAGGGGAGGGTTCACTTTCAGCGAGTTGTCACAGCAGGAAAGGATTTGCGAGAGAAGTAGGTATGTTATAAGTTGACGTGGTTGGGAAGGCTGGGCTGCTTGAGCTCAGAGGATGAAATAGAATTTTGTGTGCGGGGAACAGGAGGGCTCGGGAAAAGTTTAGCAGGCAGTGGCGGCCATAATGGTGGTACAGAACAAGGAAGTAGGAGGAGGAGAGAGAGGAGAGTGAGGAGGGCAAGGAGGGAGAGCGAGGGAGTGGGGGAAGGAGAGGAAGGATCGAAGCGGGGTAAGTGGGAAAGCAAGAGGTACCAACGACGTCAAGGGATCGATGACTGGGGGTGGAAGAAGACAGGAGCAAATTTGCACGGAGTTGTAGCAGCGATCTCAGCCGATTCCGACCGGGGTGGGTGGGTGGGTGAAAGGAAAAAGTACCGGTGGTACAACATTCGGTATGGGCACAAAAAGGATGCATTATGGGAAGGTCTCCTTTGGACGGGGGTGGGTGGTCGTACTACCAGCAGAGGAACAAGGAAATTCGAAAAGAGTTCTGTTCACAGAAGCTAGAGTCTGAGGGGTGGGTAGTCACAGCAAGCAGAGTTCGCATTTTTGGAGGCGAATCCAAAAGTACCGGTATATTTCCTGCTAAAAACCATGGTAAGGTGGTCCCAATTTGCTGTTGTGCGAGGGGGACCCCGAGATTTGTCGATGGGGGTGGGTGGTGCTTGACCAATATTTGAATAGTTCAAGTGTACGAGGTAGGGTGGTGCAGACTAAAGCAGCAGTGACTATGGTGGGGTGGTATTTTGTAGTAGGAGTGACAATGATTTCTTGTGTGCGTAGAGGGTATAGGTGGGGTACCCTGCTCAGCTGGAGATTCCGAAGATACCGACAGTAGGTAGGGTACAATTGTACCTTCAATGGGTATATGGTAGGGGTCGACAAAAAGGGGGTCATAACAAGAGAGTTGCTAACAACAATCATTTTTAATTTAAATTTGAGTAAAGTTTGAGGAAATGGGGGTAGGGGGTGGGGTACGAATATTGAAAAGTAGAACCTCTGAAAACTTTCAGTCGGAAGATGTTCACCTCTGTTCGCAAAAGTTCAGCTCTCCAAAAACTGCCGCTGAGTGAAGTACCAGAGTCACGGTCGGTCATCTAAGTCACCGGGCGATTTTCCGGGCCCGCCGCGGCCCGGGCCGGCGGCCCGCCACTCCGACTGGTAGAGGCAGTGACTGAGCCCTCAAGCTCCGACGCCGGTGCCACCGACTGCACACCCCGGGCCCGCCGGCAGAGCCTCACTGAGTCAAGCTCCGAGCTCGGTTGCAGTGAGCACGGACCGTCCGAGGCCGCAGAGATCGGACGGCCCGGGACTCGAACTTCGGAAGTCCCCCCCGGTCCTGGCCGGGCACAGCGCGGCCCGGCGCTCGGCTGAGGCCCTGCGTAAAACGGTTCAAGCGCCTTTACAGTAGTGTAAGTAGTAGTGGTCACTGGGTGCAACGGGTTGAACTTTGCCGCTTCGTGCACGTGACCGTTTGCCGCAATGTCACCGAGAGGTCCGAGCGGGGCATATGGGCTCTGTGACCCGATAACTGAAGCCAAGATGCAAGTAAAGTGATGTATTTGAGTGAAAACAAAAAGGACAGCCATAGTGCCTCGTGACCGGACACATGTGGACCTTTTTTTTAAAAAAATATACGTGTCATTCAGTTACTCCATGACTGCAGGCAGCCACCATCTGACGCCGCTTCCAATCGAATTTCGGGGCCTAAACCGTGAACCGTTGCGCTTTTTGTTCTTTGGTTTGCTCCTCCCCTGCGTTTGATGACATTGAAACTCCATAATGCTGACATATTTCGGTTATGGGAAGCCCTATCTAAACCCTGCTTTGTCAGCAGCAGGGCATCTGTTGCCTATGGAACTATACAAAATCACAAAATAAAACACTGTCTTTTTATTTTCCATAATTGAAAGCCGAGGCGCACTGCCTTGTTGTGTAATTATTGAAAAGATATTTTTTCGCAATCTGGCGTCATCTCGCTCGACCTTCCCTAATCAATCTGCCTACCTCCTCCTCCGCTCCTTTGTGATTCCTTCAGCCCCCATTGTATCTTCCCGAATCCCCAACGCTTCTTCCTCAACTTCACTGCTGATTCTTGTTCGTCTTCGGTCCCTCGCCTGTCTCCAAGTGCGACCGCTTCTGCTTCTACTTGCTCTCTGGGCTGGGTCTCTTTGAAAGTAGTCGCAATCAAACTGGATAGAAATTTGGCAGCATGACCAAGCACGTCAAATTGTATGCATCAGATACCATTCTTGGACCAGCACAACTTCAGGCACAAAATTTTTCGAACTCTGAGCGGAAAGCTGCCCCGCAGCATGGGGACGGGAACTTGCTGAAACCAGCGGGTATCCTAACCCGAGGGAAATCCGAGGGGGAGTGCTCTATCCCATGCTTCCATGGTGCATCTACATGTGAATGGAGCCGGGCAGCAAGCGATCCTACCCCTGGAATTTTCCTTCAGCCGAGCAAGGGAAATCAGGAACTGTTGTATCAAGATATTTGGAAAAGTCATGTACAGAACAAAGCGTTTGAGATCCAAAACTACGCTGAAACTAAGTTGTATTTGAACATTTGGTGATATTTTGTAGATAAATAGTGAAAGATATCATTTCTGCTGATTGTTCACAAGTATATTCTCTCCGCTTGTGTCTCACCTTGATCTATTCGATCACATGTAAACATCGTTTCGACGATAGATTTACATGGATTAATCTAGAAATATGGAGCCATAGCATGTTTCATAGTTCATTCATTGATTCATCTTCAATTCTTTCATTTCATTTCTTCAAAGTCGCAGGGGGTTGGGCGAGCATGGAGGCAGCAGTTGGAGTAGTTGCTTTCATAATATCTGCTGCCGAAGTGGTAGCGGTGGACGAAGCAGGCAGCGAGCCAACTTGGCTTCCTGTCGTCGGAGGCTGCAAACATGCTCATCAGGCGGGTCCTGTGACCGAGCATGCGATCGTACCGCGGATCCCACAGGTCCTGCTGTGTGATCGTGCGGGCCAAGGATGCCAGTGGCTTCACCTGACGGATCGGAGAATCAGGATAATGCTGTGAGCAGCGAGAAAAGATACCGTTCTGATAGTTTCCCTTCGTTCCTCCCTGTGCACAGACCTTCCGTCAGTCCTGCTCCATGTCTTTCATGCTCACGAGCGAACCTTCGCCTGCTCCTTCTTTCGAATCTCCTTGTTCTTGGCGAAATCTCTCGGGATGGGGAGCTCGAGCTTGATGGTGAGTCTGCCCATAAAGTCACGTAGACGGCAGCTTCACGTCACAGTCAAACCCGCGGCAGAACGCCTTGTCGAAGCCGTTGGAGCATGCAGGATACAAGGGACCAGGAGGCAGCCTGCCCATGACGTCAGCATCAAACATATTCCCAGGAGAAGCGCACTTGCTGAAGGCTGTCCCAACTCGCGTCCCGTCCACATAGAGATCTAGCGTGCGATCATACTTGTCCATGTCCAGCAGTAGCCCGACAGTTTGCTTTTGTGTGAAGCCCTTCAACTGCGCCGTGATGTGAGCAGGGGCCAGGTCTCGCAGGAGAGCGAGGAGGGAGCAGGGGGGTAGGCATGCAGGAAAAGAGAATACCGTCGATGTCGACAATTGTTCCTTGCTCCAAAGAAATGCTGTACCGTCTGGAACTGCGTCAAATTTCCAACCAATAAGGAGAAGTACTGAGACCAGAACAATTTGACGAGCTGATGCCGTAACCAATCTCTCCAAGCCACTTGTCACTCAGAGATCGCGGATTCTCTGGATGAATGAATTATCACAATAGATGACAACATGACTTGTTGATCAGTATGCGTCTCACTTGGCATTTCGGTGACTCCGACACACAAAGTTCGCATGTCTTGAACAGAAACCTGACGCTTGATTTAGGACATCGGGGGTCATGATTCGCAACTTGGGTCGTTCAACCTCCCAATAATGAGTTCCAGTCACAAAAGAAGTCGTTGCAATCACTGTTCCCTGCGGTTCAATATCACAGTCATGGCATTTAAGAGCATGGAGCATATAAAACTCACTCTGTGTCCACCATTTATATCGACTACGCTCTTGTCGTTGTTGTTGAAAATCATATTCCATGAAGCATAATTCGAGTCCCATCCCACTGAGATTCCTTCAGTCCAAAGCAGTAAAGCATGCATACTGAATAAAACGTACAAATGAAATATTTCAGTATTTCTTTCATGATGTCGTCCGACATCATTTTCATTTTTGAATCCGATCCAAGGCGTTGGTGTCTAATCAACCGCCATGTAAACAACGCAGCATAATATGACATAGAGATATGATCAACCTGCCCATCGAGAATGCAAAGAAATTATCCAGAGGCTCATCTCTGACCCCATTTTCTCTCGACATGCTGCCGTGAAACTGTCTACAAGCTGAGCATCATCAGAGCAGCTGTGGAGCAATAAAACCAGAGAAGCGAAGACCTGATCCCACTTGTTTGTTCTTGACGATTCAAAAACTTGGATTGTAGGCACTGAGAGCCGGCGTTGCTGTCGTCTTATGTGTATGCCAAATGCTATCACTTTTGACGCTCGTTCACTGAGAAGTTGAACTTAGTCAATGAAGTGCGGAAGAAATGCAAGTGCAGGAGATCAGCGGAGATGAAGAGCCTCTAGCAGTTCCATCCTCGGATATCAACCCTCCTGTTTCATTCCTTTGATACGCCTCCCCCTGAGGAGCCCTCCAACTTGCCTCTCCCTCTCCATCTCTTTCTGGCATTAAATTACCTGCTCCTTTTACCCCCCCCCCTTTCTGATTGGGTGATTTGCCTCTTGACTCTTTTGTCTCTGACGCTCCTCGATCTCCAGTCTCATCATCTACCTCCTCCTCAATCACCGTCCTCGCTCTTGTCACCTATATCGATCGCCTCAGATTCCATCCCACGACTCAGCATAGCGTTCCTCGTCTTCATCTTCTCCTCCTCCTTCTCTCCTCCTTCTCCCTTCTGTCCTCAAGCTTCATGTACTTCCCTCTCATGTTCTCGTCCTCGTCCTCGTCTCTCCTATCTCGCCTCTTACTCCTCACGCCTCCCGCTTTCCATTCCTTCCCCTCCAGACTGGAAAGTGGGGGATCAGATTTTCAAGTATGGGTTATTTTATCGTCTAACTTCAGGAGATCCAAATGTCTTAGTTGCAAAATATCCTTTGATTTGAAAATATCATGTGAATATTCAAACATATGTTTGATCAAGTACAGGATTTGCTGCCCTTGCGATAATTCTGTGTCGTACTAGCGACCACCCCGCTATTCATAATGTCGACCGTACCCTTGATGTTTGATGTGAACCCATCAGACTACCGGTACTTTCAGGTCGTTTTTCACCTACGATCCGTGGTGGGTGGAAAGGGCCACCGGTACATTTTAGATCCACCACTGCACTGATCCAGGAAGGAAACATGGCGTGGATCAGGACAGCAGTAGCAGCGATGCTCTTCGCCGGCGCCTCCTCCTTCTCGTCCTCCTTCCCGTCATCCCTTACCATATCACCATCACCTTCCATCTGTCAGAGTCCTGCCCGCAACTCACAGCTTCTTCGACTGCGCTCTCTCCTTCCTGTATGCAGGACGTCTTGTCTGTCAGGCTGCTGACGAATGTTTCAAGAGATACCGGAGGAGAGCCTCGATGTCGAAAGTCAGCCTTGACATGATGCGAGATGTAATAGCATGCGTTCCCCCATGAGTGACTGATGAGATGTGGAGTCTGGTAGCAAAGTCCTTGTGGCGGATCCAACCAGCGTTATCGGAAAACTAGTCACGAGGAAGCTCGTGGAGGTTCGTTCCGGAGGCAGGCTGTCTCTGTGCTCACTCCCTGGAAACGCGAACAGAAAAATATTCCGACGAGAATCCTTCTGGACCATGGAGCCTCGCTGAGCGAGTGGGAGGGTGGTACTCAAATCCTTAGATGTTCTACCTGTGCTAATCGAAACCACAGTGAATGTTGAGATCGTTAGAGGAAGTGTTTACCAGGAGGACGAGTTGGAAGCAGCGATGCAGTAGTATCGCGCATGTACACGATCAATAATGCTGAGAACCTCTCAAGGTCTTGCCACTGCTGTGTTTATTGCTCCAGGACCGAGCGCCAAACCAGCCCTGTGGATCTCATCTACAAAGTGAGCTCGCCACTGAGTCCCGCTCTCGGTGACGCTTCTCTCAGATGTGGGACCCTCGGAATGTTTTCCTTGGTGCATGGGGGCCTTCGAAGCCCAAAGTCATCCCTGAAGACGTGCCATACCCTCCCATGCTGTTTGCTCCAACTCACCAGGTTGTAGTGGCCAACGGAAAGGATGTCAATCTTGGATCCTGCTACCGACCCGGCACATCCTTGGAACGATGGGTTCTATACTTCTTGGTGACATGAATCTTTTCTGCTGGATCCTTGCTGTCGATGTGACGAGACGGGAGCAGCAACATGAGGGACGTGGCGCTCAAATGCGGATGCAGGCATATCGTTCGCTTGTCCGATATCAAGTGAGCTGCCAGAAGGGCCGTGGTAGCGAATGATAAGCTGTCACTGCCAGCATCGCCAACGGAGCCTTCAATGTCAGGAACACAGTGAGGAACATTCTCAACTCTATGGAGGTCAAGTGGAGGGTATGCGAATCGACAGGCCGATTGTGTTGGCTGACAACTGTCACAGGACATTGGAGAGAAGACACTTCGGTTCTATGAGAGCGAGGATTTGAAGTACACCATTATCAGAATTCGTGAGGAACGGAACTGAAGGATGGCCCTGCATCTGACGATCTCCCTACTCTTCAGCTACAAACTTGGTTCAAGATAGCAACAAACTCAGCGACAAGGTCATCCTGACAACTCAAGACCAAGGCAGGCTCAGCCATCGAGAGATCGACGTGTAAGTGATCTAGATCTCCTTGACGGCATGTGCTCAAAGGCTGACATGTGCGACAAGTGGTACCGTAGCTTCCATCTGTGCAGCCTGCGCGTCGGAATCGTTGGCAGAGAACGTCACTTTTTCATGGTGCACGTGAAACCCATGCCATGCGAAGAGTTTGACAGCTCTGCTTGTCAAAGCGCCACGGCAGAGGAAGGGGAAGAAGATGCGATGTCATTAGATGTTGCGCTCAAGGCCTTACAAAACTTGCCCCCTGGTAAAGTGCATGTTCTTCCGTCCCCTGCGTGTTCGGTCGTGACTGGTATGTTGTAGAGGATCCAATGGAGCTGGTAGGATTGGAGCCTTACGCAATCATTGTCAACACAATATTTGTAGACGAGACTCTGATTTGGTGTCGAAGATTTGATAACATGTGCAACAGACTGTCTCATTCGTTGCTGCCTTCAAGCTCGGCCTTGACTCAGGATTCATCAACCGGTACTGGATTCTTCGCTTGCCCTACTTGACGTTGGTCTGTTCATTTTCAAGAGAATTTTTCTGCTGAAATGTTGGCTGGCAGGCTTACACGTTGTTGGTGCAAGCTTTCAGAGAAGGGGATTTTGATAAATTTATTTTTGAATCAGAAGGTAAGACTCAAGAAGGGAAATAGCAGGTCAATTATAAACAATTGGCTCGAGGGCCATGGAGAAACTTTCGCAAGTTACTTCTTCTTGGATGTCTTCACACCACCAGCTATTGGGAAGTGAAAACATTCAAAGTCAAACAACGAAGCATCACTGGCAGAGGTTCATCATCATACCAGCACGTTGGCGCTTCTCGGCATCTTCGCCATAGATAGCGTATGTGTGCCTCCTTCCCTTGAAAGAACCGATGGGGATCTGCCAGCATCATCAGCAGGCCCCATCAAAATCACAGACAAGGTTGCATCACAGGCCCAGTGACTGGATTGGCTTTCATCCTGTCAGAGTAAAACTTCAGATATCGAGCCAACAGAACACAAAAAGAGGGCAGGGCAGGGCAGGGCAGGGCAGGGCAGGGCAGGGCAGGGCAGGGCAGGGCAGGGCAGGGCAGGGCAGGGCAGGGCAGGGCAGATCAATCAGAGCACTCACTCTTTGATACACAGGGCGAAGTCAACCAACTCAGACTTCTTGAAGATGTACTGATTGGAGCAGTCAATTTCCAGATTCGGCCGTGTCTTTCATCCCTTACCTTTTCGATATCCGCGATCTTCATGTCTGCTGTCGGAAACATTTTCTACGGAACACTCTCAGTCATGACAGCTCGTGAAAAGAATGAGGATGTACCTCAACAGTTTCGTCGGTGAATTGGAGCTCGATCTCAGGTTTGACGTACTATCAGAAGCCGGTTACTGAGCCTACCTACCCATACCCATCAAGGTGCTCACCGTGTCTTTCTGGTATCGAACCAAGTTCAAGTCTATCTCACACTTGGGATTGGACGCCTTGACCTTGGGTGAATGCACCCTCCGCATGAATTCTCTGGGACAAGCGTGAAACTTTGTACAGCAGGCGCGGCAGGGATTCATACACAATAGAAGGGACAGAGTGAAAGGGGCAGAAGGTGATGCGAACCTGCAAGGATCAGTCAGGTCAAGGCGGCCAAAGAGGTGAAGGGCAGGACAAGGTTTCACTCACTTTCTTAATGCATTCCAGACTGATTGGGGCCATGATCTAACGTTCCTGCAGCAGCCTCGTCACTCCCGTGCCATGGCGACAAGGCCAAGTGCTGGCATGAGAGTCAACTTCTCTATCCCTCGCCTCCTCTTCCTTGTGATCATGAAGTTCTCCCCCTCCTCTTCCTCTTCCTCTTACTTCCCCACCCCCCCCAGCATTCCACGCGTCGGCCGTCGAGCGGATGCAACGGTCCCACATCCCCGCTCGTACTTACAAAAGTTTGAAACTTCGATGACGATAAAGTTTCGAGGTCTGGCTCTAAAGTTTCGGCCCCACCACCGTAATTCCCGCCAAAAGACCCCCGGCATGGGCTCATCGGACGAGGTGTGGCGGTTGCCATGCTGGCAGGATGTTGATGCACTAGCCTCCCACACGTGCTCCATGCTCTTGCTCTCCTATGGTCTCTCGGATCCCTTCACTGCCTCCTCTCCCTGGCCTCCTTTGACTCTCCTCCTCCTGCTTCTCTTCCATGTAAACTCGTGGCAAGCTTTGTCACTAGTGCGAACTTGTTTTCTCTTGCCTGAATCCTCGTGGTTTCGTCTCTCAACATGACTCTATCGTATCTACATGGTTCATCTTCACGATTTTTGCTGCTTCATCCGCTCTTTGTAACCGTCTTTGCAGAGCTCGGATGATTTCTCAGCTAAAAAGTCGAAGAAGGTCTTCATTCACCCTGTGCCCGGCTGGCTTGTGATCTTGCGGCAGGCACCCAAGGCAGCAGCGTCGAAGAAGACTGTTGATGCAGAAAACAAGTCAAAGAAAGCTAAAGGGTCTCACACGAAGACTGCTGAACAGGTAGAGGCATTGAACCGAGGATGTACCAATGGTCGCCTGACTGAGTGAAGATGGTAACGGAAGACGAATCGAGAGCTATCAAGAAGCAAGCGAGGAGTTTGGGCATCATTTCTTCTAGTCCCTCTTGCGAGGTCGTTGAGCACATGTTCGTGCCATAGAGTTAACCCGAGCTGTAGGATAAAGAGTATTGCAAGCTGAACAGATCCAAGCCCTCGCAACAAATTCGGAAGCACAGCTCCAAGAAACCACTTGAAATTTTTAAGCGAGCCAACGTCCGCAAGAACAAAGTTCTCTTTGTATTCCCGGGCTTGGTTTCCGTGGTGCAGGAAGGCAAATTTGGACAGCTCAGCAACATGGACACGAACCCTGTATTTTGTAATGGTCTACTTTCCGCTCGGTGACATGTCGTAACTGTCAGACATTGGACATTGAATTCCCGCAAGGCACACTTCGTCTGACTGGAACGCATGTCCACTCCAAACAGAAGTATGTGACCATGCTCCCGAAAGCCAAAAAAGTTTTGGTACAAGCTCAGCAGTTTTATTGTTGAAATCACTAATTGTATTCGATTCGTAGGCACAAGATACTTTCGATCATTTTGTGGTATTTGGGGGACGAAAATGGCTTGGCGATCCTAGTTCGGACCCAACCAAGCAGGTTCTCTCCAGCCGAATTCTAAACTGAGCTCATTTTCGATTAGTCCTCAGATTCTTCTGCTTTGCTTCATAAGGATTTTTCATTTGATGGTGGAGCAGGCTCTGCAGAGAGCTCTACGGCACCTCTGTCAAAACCGAGCATTCCTTCTGCAAATCAGACAGGAAATCAGACATCCATCGCTTCGTTCTTCGACAGTTCGCAAGGGGATTCAACAAGGGTGCGAAGAGCTGCAGCTTCTAAGGGTGTTAAGTAAGTGCCGAGTTTGCTATGTGTTACTGGCGTCCCTTGACCATGAGTCAGATACTCAGAAAAGGGAAGCGACGATGATGACAGCAACTTGGTGGATGACGACGACGACGACGACGACGACGACGACGCCAACAGCGGAACGCGCTCCCCTGTCAAACTACCCATTCCTGCTTTGCCTCAGATCCCAACTCCGACAAGAACTTCAACATCTGAACCAAGAAGAAAATCGGTGTGAAGCACCGAGGATTCGACCTTGAGTGTGAGTGCTGACAATAGGAACAGAGTTCTGCACAGCCAAAGTCAGACACAATTGTCCTGGATGATAGTGACGATGACGAAGGTAATCGGTGACGAAGAGATGTTGAATCTGATTGATTGATAGATTCCCAACCATCTCAACCATCTCAAAAGACAACTGCACAGAAAACTCCAAAGAAATCAGCGGGCACTGCGAATAAACAACCAGCCAGCGCCAAGAAGTCTACTCCTGCATCTGCTACAAAGACAAAGAGGAAAGCAAAGGACGACGACGACGATGAAGACGACGATGAATACGACGATGAAGACGATTATCAGGCAAAGAGAAAGCCGACTCCAAAGAAAGCATCTAATACCCCAAAACGGGTACGGAGTCGAGTGAAAGGTTTTGAGGCGTTTCTTACCCTTGGTCTCAGACTCCAAAAAAATCGACAAAGAAGGTTTTTCTGTGTTGCATGCTTGCCATAATCTTTTTGCTTCAATTGACAGCTCTGTTCCAGAAGAAATCATCCGACGATGAAGAGTCTTCGGAGGAGGAAGCGGTCAATATTTCTATTAGAATACTCGAGGTTATGACATTGAATGTTGCAGGAATCCAACGATGACTCAGATGATTGGCAACCTTAGCCCTGCCCGATAAGATTCGTCTCGTAATAAAGTTGGCCGTTTGGTCGATTCTCTGGCATAGACCCCATGGAGGTTTGAGATCCTGACAAGACAACAAGTCAAGAGGAACATGATGCTCGTCGTTGGCATCTTTGTAGGCGTACCATATAGTGACATCTGTGGAAGGGGTTGATTGGATTGTATTTGTGTCAAGTTGCCGACGAAGATCTCCGGTGGGACTGGCTGCCCTGTAGAAGCGAACCTCGGAACCTCCCTTCCTGTCAGACTGGGTCAAGACGAGAAGACACAGTCAGGGCCACTTGCTACCCGTCCACGGCTTCAATCTCCTCAGCCTCATCCATTCTGTGACTTGCTGCTCCACAGACGGAAAGTTGAGCGTGCTGGCGACTTCCGGAGTGACTCTGCAAGCAAAAGCCAGTGGTATCAGCCGGTGAAGGCAAGAGAATGTGAAAGGGCCACCCGTTGCGAACCTCCTCAGGATTTATCAAGAGCAAAGTCCCAGTAGGAAGATTCAACCTGCGGAACAAAGGGAAAGTCCATGGTCAACCACAGTCAGCTAAATGTTTCAGTTGATACAGAGAGGGAGCACAGAGACTCTTGTGTTTGCTGATCATAACACCCATCACTCAACACAACAAGGACGGACATCTGTCCGATCATGGCAGTCCCTCTTGGCCATCACTTCACCTAGTGCATTCTTCGTCTGTCAAGGCACGATGTGGCTTGTCCTTTGCTTCATCCACTGAGAACCCCGGGAGTTTCTGCAAGGGCCCGATGTCAGGGTCCTGCTGCTTCTGCTGCTTCTGCTGCTCTCCCGTCCTCTCCTGCGACATGGCTGCCAGGGCTGCCCGGCGGTCCGGCACGACTCTTGCTATTCTTATCAGTAAAACACTCGATATAATATTGTTATCTGCTGCATTTGTTTGCAATAGACTATTTCAATACTACATTGTACTCAAGTCGTTTATTGAACCCCGACACCCCCCAATAGATCGGAAGGGTAACGGTTGCTATGAAAGTTTCATAGGAGGCAGCAGGGTGAGCTTGTTAGATATTTTCATCATCATACGAAGATCAACGGAAACAAGGGAGTCAGCTTCGCCATCTTTTGTGCATGCTCAACACGGTTCACTCTCAACTGACAAACTCTTTGCTCGCAACTTTCCCATGTTTGAAACCCTATTGAATGTTGCTTGTGTTGAATGGTTTGCTGATGAAACCGCTTCGAGCTTATAGGATGAGCAAACATTGATCATGGTTTAATTAATTGAAAATCACTCTTAATAGTCAACTGAAGGCTTTAGTGTTGTGCCTGCAGCAAACAAACATTTTCAACTTCTCTGCTGCTCCGCAGCAGTTTTGGGTGGCTTGAAGTCAGGTCGGAGCGAATGAAGGTTCGGCATATTTTTTCATCGCATGTATCACAGCATAGCATGTCAGTTTCTTTTATCCCGCTGCTCTTATTTCCCCTCCAAGCTCAGGACGAACCAAAAGGCATAACTGGAACTCGCTTGAAAGTTTGACGTCCTGCAATGTTGTCACATTTCAATGCTTCATGTAGAAATGGGCAAACACTGCTATCATCATTGTGATAGGCGCCCAGACTTTCCAAGAGCTCCACTCAAAGTGATTCACCGCTTCAATGTTGTTCCCGTCCATGTCCTTCACATAAGCCGCGTAATAGAAGGGATGATACTCTCTCAGCCCCGGTTTGCCATTGTCTATTCCTCCTGCCGCTATGGCAGCATCGTAGAAACGATCGACGTCCTTACGGCTGGAAGCAGCAAATGCCACGTGCATTGGCATGCTCGATTTTGACGAGGTCTTGCCAGAAGGCGGCCCATGGATCCAAAAGCTAGGTCCATGCTTTCCGAAGCCCGTTCCTCTCCCGTGCTCACTCTCGACGCTCATGATTCTCTTGTTTCCCAAGGGTGCTAGGATGGTTTGATAGAAACCGAGAGCAGCATCGTAATCGGTCACACTGAGTCCGATATGATCTAGAGCCATCTGAAGCTAACAACACGAGGCAGGTATTAGAGCTGTCAGATGAAGAGAGCTATAACACGAAGATAACTGCAAGAGAGGAGGAGAGGAGGAGAGGAGGACAGGAGGACAGGAGGACAGGAGGAGAGGAGGATTTGAGGACAGGAGGACAGGAGAGAGGAGGAGAGGAGGACAGGAGGATTGGTCAACTTGATCTCGCACTGCCAAGATTTACACCCACTGCGCGCTGGAGTGGTAGGCTTGCTCTACCCCTTCATTTGACCGTATTTGATCCCTTTCAGGTAGGGTAGGGTGCATTTTCCGCCTACAAAGTGTAACCGCAGACACCGGTGGACCAGAATTTGATGGCGTTGGCCTGACAGTCAGCCGTTGAACCAGTTGACGCCATGGTGGAAAGAGGCGGCGGGAGGGTGGAGAAGCAGCAGGAGGAGAGGGAGGAGAGGAGATGGGATGGGATGAGAGAAGAGGAGAGGAGGATAGAGGAGGAGGAGGAGGAGGAGGAGGACAGAGAGAAGCGATCAAGAACGAAGATCTTCGGCCGGTTGCTGGAGAGAATCCCTGGAAGAGGAAGCACGGAGGATGCGTCTAGTAGAAAGGCAGAGAAAATCAGCGACGAAGAGATGACGGAGTTCTTGAACTTCTTGTTAGATCAGCTTGACGATGAAGACATTCAAAGGAGTGCATGCGAAGTGATCTACAGACTGTCTGCTTGCCACCTCTACCAAAAAGCAATGTTCTCTCTGGACATCAAAGAAGTCTTGATAGCCATAATGGCTCGACACAAAGGAGTGGCCGAGATCCAAACGTTGGGTTGTCGGACGTTTCTCTACCTGTCAGGTCTGTTCAGGTTCAACTCAAGTGACCTTGTACAACGAGACATCATCGCGTGTCTCATCGCCGCCATGGTCGAGCATGCCACAGTGATTGAGTTGCAAATTTCTGCATGCAGGGCCCTCCGGTTCATGGCGGCCAATCACCCCGCGAACAAGGAGCGCATCAGATCAAAATCTGGTGTTGAGCTTGTAGAACACGTCAGAAAGCTTCATGGCAATGACTTGGAACTTGTGGAGGCTGCGGACAAGTTCTTGTCTGTGCTACAGAACGACTTCTTCTCGTCGGATTCCGAGAAGATGCTGAGGTACATCGTATCCGATCTCGAGCAGCACTCGAGGGTGCTGCAGGTAACAAGTCAGAACCTTCACTTGCTGCTGTACTTCCTCACCAAGTCTGAGCAAGACTTGTGTATGATGCTGCACGAGACCATGAGCGTGATCCGTTTCTGCATGAAGACGTACAAGTCCAACACGGGGGTGCAGGAGGTGATCTGCAACATCCTGATCGCCATGATCAAGGTTTATGGTTGTTACACTCTGCTGGAATTCTTCCCTGATATGGTCGCGATGGTCTCGGCCAACAAGAAGGAGTACGTGAGAGACGCGCGTCTATGCCTGCTGCTCGACATGCTGGCAGAGATGCTGACGCCCAACAGGCCTCCGGTACTCGAGGAGAGAGGAGCGCGGGAGCCGAGGGAGCAGGCGGAAGGATACTTCAGCTTCAACGAGGAGGATGACGATGCTGTCGCTGCTGCGATCCAAGACAGCATCAGCAAGATGCAGCAGTACAAGTTTTCGCCTGTGGTGCAGGAGGTGGAATGCAGCAAGCTCAAAGAGCTCTCCCTGTCCACCAAATGGCTCCACACCATCAGCACCGCTGGGGGCGTTGAGGCGACGATGGAGGCCATGAACGTGCACAAGGAGGAGAGGAGCGTCGCACTGCAGGCCTGCTGGACTTTGAAGCACCTGACGTACCATGTGCGGAACCAGGGTATGGTGGTTGAGCTGCACGGTGTGCAGCTGCTGTTGGACGTGATGAGGAGGCATGTAGAGGATGCGAACGTGATGGAGCAGGCGTGCGGTGCCATGACCAACCTGGTGTACAAGTCAGCGGGAAGCAGGAGGGAGTTCATGGAGGAGAAGGACGGGATCGCTGTGCTCCTGAGGGTCGTGGAGGTGCATGCGGAGAACTCGGCGGTTGTGCTCAACAGCATCTGGGCGATGAGCAATGTGATGGAGAGAAACGAGACTTACCAGGTTGTGTTCGTGACCATGGACGGAGTTCACTTGACATGTATGGCGATGAAACTTCACATGCCCAACTTGTCGGTGCAGTATCAGTGCCTGAAGCTCCTGAGGAATCTTGCGGAGAGCGAGCAGGTCAGAAGGTATGCCGGACTGAAGGGCTATCGAGATGTAATCAAGATGTCGATGCAGAGGCATCAGGAGAATAGCATGATGGTTGAGATGGGAAGTTTCATTCTTGAGGCTTCTCAACAAGAGGTTTGAGACAGTGACTCTCGGGTACACCTTTGCCTTGTATAGTCCTTGTACATGTATGAGAATGAATAGAGTCTTCCTAGATATCTTTTGACTGATCTACTTGCTTGATTTCAGCAGCTCCTTCTTCTTTTTCTTCAGCTCCCCCCGGTCCATCACACTCTGAAATTCCTGCACAAGCAGACCTGCATGAAGAATTCAACCTCCTCCCCATCCCCTTCCCCTTCCCCCTCCCCTTTGCTCCCTCCCTCCATTTGACTCTTCCCCTCTTCCTCCCTCTCTCCCTCACCGCCCCCTCCTCCCCTTCCTCCCCTTTCTCCTCCCCTTTCCTCCGCCCTCCTCCTCCTCCTCCTCGCAGCATCTCACGGTAGGTATGGAAGGCCTGCGCAGGGTCGCTCTTCTCCTGCATGAGGATGCGGAACAGCGCGACGAGCTCTTCCAGCTCCTGAGCCTCCGGCGACTTCGACAGAGTGCTGGCGACCTGCTGGACACTGCCCTCCATACCCCTCCAGTACTGCTCCAGCAGCGCAAAGACTTTCTCCTGCTCCTCCAGCTGCCGCCCAGCCTTGAGGGACTTGCTGATCTTTCCCACCTGGATTTTTCCCAGCTCGTGCTGCCTGGCAACCTTGCAGAAGACTCCCGCGTCGACGGAGGAGCAGACAGACATTTGCGAGTACATGCGCAGCATCTGCCTGCTGCTGGGGAGACGCTTGCCCTCCGCCGACATCTGCAAGGCCAAGAAGAGGAGAGGAGAAGAGGAAGAAGGGGGTAGGAGGAGTGGGGAGAGGAGTGAAGAGAAGGAGAGGGGAGGAGAGGAGAGAAGGAGAGGAGAGGAATGAAGGGAGCAGAGAGGAAGGGAGGCAGGCGAGGGAAGGGAAGATAGGAGAGGAAAGAAGTTGGGAACAAGAACATCAGAGGAGCGAGAGGCTTCAGAGCTTGTCATGCTTGCCTTGTCAATTATTTGCAGGAACTCGAGGTAATCCAGCTCCCCGTCATTGTTGTTGTCTGCTGACACGAAGAGAGATTGCAACCTTGCGTCAATCTGATCGTAAACCTAAAAAACTGTTATTCTCAACAGCTTTCCTCTCCTCTGACTTGCTCCTCTGACTTGCTCCTCTGACTTGCTCCTCTGCCTTCTTCCCCTCCCCCTCCCCCTCCCGGTCCCAGCCCTGTTTCCTCCTCTCTCTTCTTCCCCTCACCCCCCCCCTCCCTCCTCTCCCTTCCTTTCTGCTCTGATCCCTTCCCTTTCCTCTCCTTCCTTCGCTTCTCCTCACCGTAGTCTTCCACAAGTCCACCAGAAGCTCGAGGGCCTTGTCGAGGTTGATCAACCTGCTTGCGAGTTCAGCTTGAAGAGGAAGGTGGGGACGGGAGAGATCGAGTGAGAGGGGCAAGCGCAGGGAAAGGCGAAGCAGGGGGAGGATGAATTTAAGAGAAAGGAAGCTGAGCGAGGCAGGGGTGAGCAGGAGCAGGAGCAGGAGCAGGAACAAGAAGGGCTTACATCTTTCCTCCACGCAGCTCCTTCACTTGCTGCTCGATCTTGGTCCTCATCTTCTGTCGCTCCACTGCCCGCATGTTCCCACAGACCTGAAGAGACAGTCAGACGAAGAAGCAGGAGAAGGAGGAGGGAGGGGCAGGAGGAGAAGGAGGCAGAGGTGGTGGTGGTGGTGGTGATGATGGTGATGGTGGAGGAGGAGGAAGGTGGAGACGAGGAAGAAAGAGAAGATCAGCTTGTAGTTACTGCAACAGGGAGCAAACGCGAAAAAGATGTTCAGAGGTTATGGCGATGAAAGAGTTCACGCTCAAACACCATACAACAAGACAAGAACAAGACAAGAACAGGACAAGACAGATAAGGTAAGGATTCGACTTCATCGATCGCTGCTGCCATCTCAGGGATGGCGATGAAAACTTCTGCTGTCCCTTCTGCAGTGTTGGAAGGAAGCAACGGGAGCTGCCCCTTCCTCATCTGGACTGCAGCCTCAAGGTAGAGATCCGCAGCCTCCTGTGCTGAATGTCAAGAGGCGGGGGGCGGGCGGGGTGGGGTGGGGGAGGCGAGGAGGAGGAGGGAAGTCTACGAGGCAAGGAAGAAGGAGAGGTGGGGGAGGAGGAGGAGGAGGAAGGGAGTCAAGGTCACGTTACCTGTTGCATGTCGACGTCCCATCTTTTATTGGGATTGATGCCGAGCAAGGTTGCAAACATGCTTATCCTCATGACCTGCATGGAAATGAGAGGAGGAGCAGCAGAAGCAGCAGGAGCAGGAGCAGGAGCAGGAGCAGGAGCAGGAGCAGGAGCAGGAGCAGGAGCAGGAGCAGGAGCAGGAGCAGGAGCAGGAGCAGGAGCAGGAGCAGGAGCAGGAGCAGGAGCAGGAGCAGGAGCAGGAGCAGGAGCAGGAGCAGCAGGGAGGAGGAGGAGGAGGAGGAGGAGGAGCAAGAGCAAGAGCAAGAGCAGGAGGATGAGCAGGAGCAGGAGCAGCAGGGAGGAGAACTAAAATCACCTCGAACTTGTCCACCCTCTGCTCTTCAATCCAGTGCTCCAGCTTCTGCTGGGGATTCATCCTCCTGCTGAGCGCGAGGGCCTTGGGGTCTGCGGTGATCATGGAAGAGAACTTGGCGATTGCCTTGTTGACCCTCCTAACGATCGCGTTCGTCTCGTGCACCACGTCCTCAGCCTGCCTGACGGCCGTTGGCTGGTTGGCAGGAGGTTGTTTGCCCTTGTCCTCGGTGTTTTTGGTGGTTTTCTTGTTGCTGTCGGAGCTGGTGGAATCTGGTCGGAGAACGTACTGCAGCACGTTTGCCTGCAAGAGTGAGGTATGAGAGAGGGAGGAGAGAGTGAGGAGAGAGTGAGGAGAGAGGGAGGAGAGAGGGAGGAGAGGAGAGGAGAGGAGAGTGAAGTGAAGAGATCAAAAATTATGAATGAGGATACAGGGATTGAAAGAAGATGAGAGAAGGCTTGCGGTTTCAAGTTTGTTGAGATAGATGACAACAAGAATGACAGAAGGAGGAGAGAACAACACTACGAGAACAATATGAAATGTGGAGGACGTCAAAGGCGTGAAAGATGAAAAGGAGGAGAAGAGAGAGCAGGGGAGGAGTACTAAGACAAGGAGGAGTAAGGGGAGGTCGAGTAGTGAGATGTTGGGGGGAAGGGAGGGGTACGAGGAGGAGAAGTGCAGGTCAACAGAAGGGGTACTGGTCTCCTGCCCTCACCACCAGGACTATCATCTTCTCGAAACCTTGCTCGGCCTGTCCTGTCTCGCACAGGATGGAATCGAAGACGAAGTGGGCGAGATGCTGCCGTTTCCTCTGGTTGTAATCGTCGAGCTTCCGTTGCCAACCATGTCAATGGCTGTCGTACACACAGCAAGACAAAGTGGACCTGATCGACGACGACCTTCCGCGAGTACCACATGTTGATCTTCTCCAAAAGAGCGTCGGGTGACATGGCGATCTGTTTGACATCCTCCATCTCAAGCCTGTTTGCCTTGTCGACGATAACATGCCAGGCATGCAAGAACTGCAACTGAAGGTTCAGGAAAGCCACGACAACGCTCAAGTGTTTGTCATGAACCTGCGCAAAAGTTGTCGAGAAGGAGATAGAGTTGATGTCCAACGACGCTGACATGTACTTGTTGGTCTTCTTGGTCTCGTTGCTAACGACCTTCATGTCTGTCTGCGTTGAGACTGTTTGTACCGACGACAAGTTCTCAGTCTGCAACTGAACATCTCGCACCATGACCGACCTCGACAGCTGACAAATGACTATCAACCACATCCACCTTCTCTGCAAGACATGCTTGTCGATCTTTGCCCTCAGCATCTCAATCTCCTGCCGCTGCATATCGTTCTCCTTTGCCAGCTCGACAATCTGAAGCTCCTTCTTGAACGCATCCTGTTGTATCACCGCCCGCAGCCTCTCAAGTTCCTCGTCCTTCTTGTTGATCACGTCCGTCATGTCGTTGCTGATCTTGACTCTTGCCGTCTTCTCCTCCGCCAGCATCGTCTCCAGCAGCTTGATCTTGTTCTCCGCATCATGCGTCCTCTTCTGGTTGTCGTTCTCTATCCCCGTCATGTAGTTGTTCACGGACGCGAGCCTCTTGCGCGCGTACGAGAAGTTCTCGTCCAACTTCTTCACCTCCTGCTGCATCGCCTTCGCCTCCGCAGACGACGACGAGGCGTCGGCAAGGAGGAGGATGTTCCCATGCTCCAGCTCCCTGCACCTGCTCTCCAGGTGACGGTACTGGGTCTCTAACTTGGCCATGTCACTTTCCACCTGCTCAAAGTTGGACTTCATCCTCGCATTGTTGTCTTTCAATTTCTCCATCTCCATCGTCAGCCTGTTCTTCTCCTGCCCCTTGGTCTGCGTGAGACGGTCAAGAGTGACAGCATGCGTAGCCTTGAGCTCTTTCTCCTTGTTCACAAGATCTCTTGACCGCTGTCTCTCCTTGAGGAGATCGTTCTGCAGGCCCTCTATAACTGATGCCAACTCAGAAATTTTTGCTCTTAGAGTCGTCAGCTCCATCTGAGACTGCCGCGCCACCTCTTCGCTAAACTCCTTCTCTGCCAACGCCTGAATGCATCATCATCATCACCACCACCACCATCATCATCACCATCATCATCATCACCACCACCACCACCATCATCATCATCATCATCATCATCATCATCACCACCACCACCACCACCACCACCACCACCATCATCATCATCATCATCATCATCATCATCATCATCATCATCATCATCATCATCATCATCATCATCATCATCTCCATTAGAAGCAGCAGCAGTGTCTTTTTCGACATCACAGTTGTCAACAAAACATCGTATGACCATCATCGAGATCAGCAACAAGGAGATCCATCAAACATCAAACTCATCGGTCTGAATCTTCTCCCCTCCTCCTCCTCCCTCTCTTTCTCCTCCCCTCCAAACCTGCGTATGCCTCGTAGCAAGACTTTGAAGGGCCTTCACTCCCACTGCTCGAGCAGTCGCATGCCACTCCCAGTCGTCCTCCTGCCGATCTCGCGATCTACTGGGACTCCTCGACCTCCTACCTCCTCCTACTTCCTCCAACGCATCCGGAGGGACCTCAAACACGCTCTCCTGAACGAGAGGAGGGAACTGCTGCGAGAGAAGCACGTCTGCGCACGAATCGAGCACCTGAAGAACGAAAAACCGTGATGAGGACGAGGAGCAGGAGCAGGAGCAGACCTTTCGAACGACCACATCCCTGCCTTGCATTACCAAACTTTGCTTGCTGAGATTTCCGAGCTTCCAGTTCCAAACTTTGTCTCGAGCCCTTGGGGAGACTACTGTTCCTTGAGCAGTTCCTTGGGAGGTAAGGTACCTCCTCTCCGCAGGAGACGAGAAGGGCCGGACTGTCAAAATATGCGAATCAGGACGAGAGGGGGAGAGAAGGCGGAACAGGAGGAGGAGGAGCAGAGGATATCTTCAGTGTAACACGAGCAACACATGCATGTTCACCTTGATCGCGTTGAACGACAAGATCTGGGGAACGAGAACGAGACCTCTGCATTGCTGTCTTCGACCTTGGCACCTGTCTCTCAATGTCATGTACCATTCTCTCCATACACTACCACGATGGACCTGTGCCGTCTTGTCTTCACCTGAGAATTACTATGAGTTGAATACAAGGTCTGTTGGAACAAGTACCCTCCGTCTTGCTGCTGCTAAGAGGCTTCTTGTCCAAGGAACTCTGCGATGTCCTGTTCGAACGCGAGGAACTATCATGTGGTCAAGGCTTGTCGAGAGGCGGATGAGAGTGAAGCAACCTGGTCCGAGGCACCAACACATTGCTGCTGCTGCATGTAAACATCACTGGGTGTCGCTCTTCTTCCGATGCACAATGACTCACCCTTTCTTCGACATCCTATGGTGGGACTTCTTGACAGGAGCTCAGTGTCATGGATACTACAACCCAGTGATGTCTTGTGCAGCCATGGTTTCACTTCTTCACTCTCCTCCTCTTCTCCTCTTCTCCTCTTCTCCTCTCTCGTTCTCCTCTCTCCTCTTCATTCGCTTTTCAGCATTCCCGTCCGTTAATCGACCATCACACCCACCCCCTTAACCCCACTCCGACGCCGCCATCACCCCTTCTTCGGCACCCTACCCTACTCATCTCTGGTCCTTCAGCCTCCAAACCACCCCAGCACACCCATCCCACCCACCCCATCCCACCCCACCGTTTCAGAAGTCACTGATTCATTGCTTACACACACAAAGGAGCTCATAACCTTGTTAACGCACCAACAATAGGACAATCAGCTGAGCAAGTCAAGACGCTGCTTGGCCTCCCTTCCTACTATCGACCATTGACGGATCTCCTTCGCAAGGGCGCCGCCTTTACATGGACCGTCGACTGCCAACGAGCGTTCGACAGTCTCAAACAAGCTCTACCCTCATGCATAGTAGCCGAGTCACCACCGCCGCAGTCGGACCGGACACTGGCAGTGAGCCCGGGCCGCGGCACGGTCGGCCCGCACGCGCGCCCCCGGCCGGCCAGTACCGACTAGGCTCAGAAACCGACGTCCTTGATGGAGACATAGCGGTCAACCTGTAGCAGTGAAGGTCAGCAGGGGAAGAAGGAATGGTGGCGACTTGACCTTGTCGCAGGCTGAGATCCCCGAGCAGACGATGGGGACGAGAGGATGGTCGACTTTGCCCCTCTCCCTGATCACACAGTGAGCAGAGGACGAGGAGGGAGGAGGGACGGGGATGGGGGGAATGAGGATGAAAGGATACAGGAGACGGTAAGGGAAAGTAGGAGAGCACAGTGGACAAGGCAGGGGGGGCCGGAGGGAGAGGCAAAGGATGAAGAGGAGAAGGGAGAACTGCGTTGAAGGATTGAGGGAGAGGTCGCCGGTGCTGTCTCACGGGATGCTGGGGATCCAATCAGAGTAACTCTCGTAGTCTTCACTTGCTGGTTGCTGCCTGGTCCCTTTGCTGTCAAGCACGAACGTCAGAGCGTGAAGATCTACTCCTATCCTCTACCTCCGCCCCTCACACACACCCGTCCACCCCTTCCTCACCACTCCCCCTCCTCTGTCCCCTCCTCGTTTCCTTCCTCCTTCGGACCGTCTTCTCTATCTTCCCTTCTTCATTCTCTTACCCCCACCTCTCCCTCAGGTCTAGTCTTTGCCTCCCCTGTCCTCTCCTTTCCTCTCCTTTCGTCTCCTCGTTCTTCGTTCCTCTCCCCTCCTTCTCTCGCCTCCTCTCCTCACCTTCCCAGCAGCTTCGCGTCCTCCGCGATGTAGGTCAACGCAAATGCCTTCCTCGTCTTTCCAGAGAAGTTCGGAGGAGCTCCATGAAGGATCCAACTGCAGGTGAATGAGGAGGGAAAGGAGGAGGAGGAGGAGGAGGAGGAGGAGGAGGAGGAGGAGGAGGAGGAGGAAGAGGAAGGAAGCGGGTGCAACGCGCAGGGAGGAGGATGGGGAGAGAGATGAGGTAGAAACGTGCGGTTGCCCTGTTACCCGTGATGAAAGGTGGCGTCGCCGGGGAGAAGGGGAGCATGACAGGCTCGAGGGTATCTGCGATCAGATGAAGTTTGCATCCCCTTACAGGTATACCTGATGAACGAAGGTTTCCGTCAGAAGGGGGAGGGGAGAGGGAACGAGGAGGGGAGGGAAGGAGAGGAGAAAGTGGGAGAGAGAGCAAAGTGTAGCAGAAGAGGGAGAGGAAAGGAGGAGAGGTGAGTGATAGGGGGGAGGGAAGAGAAAAGGGAGAAAGGGGAGACAAAAGAATGATGGAGGTTGGAAGGAGGAAAAATCGCGGGTAGACCAAGAGGCACGAGGAGGTAGTAAAACCGTAGAGAGGGAGTGGATGAAGTAGAAATAATGTGCTGAAAGGAATTCCGTGGTGGTGGTGGTGGTGGTGGTGGAGGAGGAGGAGGAGGAGGGGAAGTGACAACCAGTAAGGAAGCGCAAAGTCTCGATGAGAGCCAGAGGCGAAGAGGAGGGGAGAATGATCCTCGTCGAGGACAGGAGAGAGAGCTATCCAGCAGGTGACCATGCCGTTGGTGTCGAGTGGAGCGGTGTTGAGATCCGTGTGCCAAGTCGTCTCACCATGAGATGGTCTCTTGAAGAAGGAGCTCGTCTGGTAGAGCCGCACAGAGTCCACTCCGAGTAGCTGCGCTGCTGCCTGCGAGGGGAGTGAGGAGGAGGAGGAGGAGGAGGCTGGGGAAGGAGGGGAGTGGGGGGGAGGGCGCAGAATGAGCAGCTCCGGTAGGGAGAGCACGGAAGAGACAGGAGAGATGGAGGGATGAAGCTGGAGAGGTTATAGGAGGATGGTAAGAAAATCGCGATGAGACGGAGGCATTACGATGATGATGTAGACGTGAGGGCAAGGAGTAGGATAGGAGCAGTGAAGAGAGGAGGAGGCAAGGCGGTAGAACAGATGACATGAACGAGGAGAGGAGATGGGGGAGGGGGAAAGAGGAAAGGGACAGGGAGAGGAGGGGGAAAACTTGCCTTCCCCATCCACTCGCTGAGCGAGAGCGCACGAATTACAGCAGCAGCCTTGCTTGTCCCCCAGTGGAGGTTGAAGCCCTGGAGGAAAGGGACCTCGATGCACTTCTCCTCGCACCACCTCTGGAGGAGGACGAGGCCTTCCTCTGCATCCTCGCACCTCAGCGCCTCCTCCTTGATCCTGTCGTCCTCCGAGTCCTCCCCCAGCACTCGCATGATGTGCTTGACTTCCTCTAGCATCTTCCCGCTGATCTCCTCCTCCACAGCGCGCTGAAACCGCTGCAGGGCCTCCCCTCCTAGCAGCTGAGGATACTTGATGTGACCCTGCCGGTCGAACTGGAGGATCTGCTCAGGCTGCAGAAGAACTTCCCCCCACCCTGACCCGAGGATGGAGGAGGAGGAGGACGAGATTTCTTTCCGGACCCTCCACCCCAGAGGGTCGCAGTGCTCGCAGATGGAGCTGAGGACGGAGTCAGAGACCTGAGCTCGCTTCCTCTTTGCCGCCTCGTCCTGCGGCAAGGGCTGTTTGGCTGCTGGTGCACTTTGATGTTCTGACGCAGAGGCAGGGGGTTTGACGCTAGAAAGTTCTCCATTGTTCGACGTCGTTCCGTTTCCGCACTCTTCCCCTTGGCTGTCCTCCTCGTCCTCGTCCTCGTCCTCGTCCTCGTCCTCCTCCCCTTCCTCCCCATCCTCGTCGTCAGATTCAAACCAGATCGAGCAACTTTTTGACAAGGATTCAACCATCCTCGCTCCACTCGTGCTTCTCTCCCCCTCCTTCAAACACTCCACATCCATCGTCCAAACATCATCAAACGTCATCTCCCGCTCTCCCCCATCCCTCTTTCCTCCATAGATCACAACCTGACGCCCATCACAACATACGTGCACGCTCATCCTCCCCTGCGGCCAAACTTCGCCCTGCAGCTCGTCGTCGCCTCTGCTCTCCTTCAGCATCTTCCACCTACAGCCTCCGCTGCCATCGATCCTGAGGACCCAGGCATCGTTGAGGAACTTGCTCTCTAGCGAGTCCTCTACCTGCTCATCGTGTACTCCTCCGAACAACAGCAGGCTTCCTCCTCCCCCTTCCTCCTCAGACCAAGCAGAGAAAGGTTTCACCTCGACCAGACCGAACGCGACCCTTGCCCGAGGAACAACGTCGCCCATCTCCACCATCCTCCACTCGCACCTCCACTCTCCTCCTCCTCTCACGTGCCCTCCCACGTTCACCGTCCACACATCCCAGAAAGGAATCCCTTTCGTGTCGTCCTGCCCCGACGACCCGACGCCTCCCTCCCTTGAGAAACCTCCCACCAACACCAGCACCTCCCCAGCTGACGAGAAACCGCACCCACTTCTCGCTTGCGGCCATCGGCATGCTGAAGAAGCAGAGGAGGAGGAGGAGGAGGAGGAGGGAACAAAGTGGCTCCACTTGCTCGACGAAAGATCGAAGGAATTGAGATCGTTGAAATACTTGACCTCCTTCGAGTTGTCAAAAAATCCCCCGAACGTGAAAATCTTTCCCCCCACGACTGTCGCCCGGTGCCCACTGCGCGCAAGGGGAACCTTGCCATGGCAGACGACCTCGCTCCATCGCGGACTTTTTGCGCAGTCAAGGCACCAGAGGTCCGAGAAATGGCTGACAACAAGGAGTGACCAGAGCTCGCAGCCTGAAGAGAATATGAAGAAACTTACTGGAACTTGTTCAGATTGGGCGACGTGTACTCCCCCCCGTGAACGTAGAGCTTGTTCTTGTAGAAGACAGCTTGATGACTGCAGACACCCATCACTTCCCTCACTTCTACCAGGCACCACAAAACACACTCACGCGCTCCTGGCCCTTGGCCCTGTCTCAAAGGACAGCCTACTCCATCTGATCTTGACATTGTCATTCTTGCCATCGAGCTGTAGCTTGTAGAGGTCATGGAACACTTGAATCTTCCTGCCGTCGTAGTACTCTCCTCCAAAGAGCATGAAAGTCCCAGGCCCCACCTTGACGACACAGAGTCACGAGAGTATCTACCTTGAGAGAGACAGGAGAGGAGAAGCTCACCTGTGTTAAGGTAGCATGAACTCTTGGCGACGGACGCTCGCTCGCCTCCTCATGGCACAACCCTCTCTTCCCCTCCTTGGCGTCCAGCTCGTGGAGAAGTTGATCGATGTCTTCCTCCATGTCCGCAGCATTCTTCGCTGTGTCGCCTTGAGCTCCCTTCTTGCCCTTCTTCCCCATATTGATCGCTACAGCCTCCTGACCAGGCACAAGTCAAAACGTGTCCCTCTGCCTTGTCTGTCTGCTCCTGCCCGCTGAGTCTGTCAGGAAAATCCTTCGAGCTCTTGCTCACTTTCTTGTGTCATCTTGCCCATCTCAAGCAATCTCGAACTCTCTTTCCTCCTTCCTTTCTGTCTCCCTCCCCTCCCCTTCTCCTCCTCCCCATCCCTCTCCCTCTCCCTCTCCCTCCCCTTCTCCTCCCCTTCTCCCCATCCCTCTCCCTCTCCCTCTCCCTTCTCCCTCCCCTTCTCCCTCCCCTTCTCCATCCCTCTCCCTCTCCCTCTCCCTCTCCCTCTCCCTCTCCCTCTCCCTCTCCCTCTCCCTCTCCCTTCTCCTCCTCCTCGCTGTCTTTCTGCCTTCTACTATCTTCGTCCTCGCCCCATGAATCTCGTAACCCGCACGTGAAAATTGGACGCATCGTCTCTGGACCAAGGATGGAGTACCGGTCCTTTGTACATCTAAAACTGGGGTGAAACCTTTTATGTCACCGGTACCTTGTAGTTCAAAACAAGGGGTGGTGAAGATATCCTGTCTTTGTCGGGGGGATGAAAACAGCGACAAGGGGGTAGGGGTAGGGGAGCGAAATGCGAAGATAGCTGGGGACGGAAAACATGGCGGTGGCGCTTGTAGCAGCTGCGATTATGCTGATCGCTCCATGGCATGTTAGTGCTTCCCCGCCATCACCCGCGATACGAATCATGTCGCCATCAGACGGACAGCTGTTCGCTCTGCACCACGAAGTCCAAGTTTCCTTGCTAGTCGATGGCGTCGTCGGAGAGGGGTGGGAAGCAGTGATTCACTTGGATGGGGAGCCCACCCTGACGTTCGAGCTCGAGAACCATCGGACGTCCTATCAGATCACACTCGCTGCAGTTTCTCAGGGTGATCACTACGTCTCGGTCACGTTCTCGGACCAGCATTCCATGTTGTCAGCGGATCCGGAGAAGGTAGGCTTTCGGATCGGGCATTCATCGGAGGAGCGTGGAGTCAACGATGCTGCTAATGTCTCGGATCAAAGTCACACACTCAGACAAAGGCTGGAAGATGTGAAAGACGTTAGCTTCGTGATCATTTTCTTCCCTCCCCGTCAGCATTGTTTCATTTCTAGAAACGACGCTGCTATCTCCTTTGCCATCTCAGAGAAGTACTTCTCGCGCTTTCCCGAGGCGTCAAAGGCCAGCCTCATCATCAACGATCATGTTGCGCTGCAATGGGAGCTCGACGCCAACATGAAGTCAGACCCTCTGTCGGGGTACCGCAGCCGCCATGCGCGGTGAAACTGCTGACGATGGTGATGTGTAGGACAGCGATGGATCTGAGCGATGGACTGAACTACTTTGCATCCTTGACGGGGTTTGAAGACGGTTTCTATCAGGCAAAGTTGGTCCTGACGCACGGGCAATCGGGAGAGGCGATAGGACGGCCAGGTGATGTTCCCCTTGCACTGTGCACATTTGATGGTGAACTGGGTAGCGTTCACCTACTTTGCTGTGGACGAGGAGCTGGAAGGAGCAGAGGGATCCTGCGAAGATTTCTGGGAGAGAGGGAGAGAAGGAGCAGGAGGAGAAAAGTTGGACATCGGGTTGGAACAGACTCACTTCATCTACGGACGAGGAGGACCGTGGAAGTGGGGAGGGCTGTACGGAGAGCAGAAGCGTGCAGATGGCCGCAGGAAGGAGGAAGGGACGTGTGAAGACGGGAGCTGCGATGCTGCATCGAGCATGAGGAGGAGGAGGATGACGAATGTCGCGTACAAGAAACCAGTCACCCTCTCCTCGACAGGAGCCGGAGCATCTGAAAACGCAGTGGACGGCATTGTCAACGTTTTCTACTCAGTCCCATTCGAGCAATCGCATGCTACGACGTCGGGGAAAGTAAGCATGTGTGAGCTGTTGGTGAAGGAAAGACTCCACAACCTGTTGCTGCTTGTGTTGTTAGCAGGAACTGTTCTTCCCCAGACTGTAGTTCTCCCTCCCGATTTGATCGATATGGTGCCAGGTTGGGGAGGTTGAATGGCTCGAGGTCGACTTGGGAAGAAACGAGTTCGTGCGAGCAATCGACGTGTGGGGGGCAGCACGAGCTCGGGCGAGGCTGCAGTATCCCATGGTAAGCGAAGCGCAACAAGCTTACAGGATGTAATTTCATCATCATCATCATCATCATCATCATCATCATCATCATCATCATCATCATCGCCACCGACACCAACACCACCAACATCATCATGACAATTACAATCGCAATCATCATCGCCATCGCCATCGCCATCGCCATCGTCGACATCATTGTTCATGTACCATCAACATTCTTGACAGAGATGTCATGTTCGGTTGTCACAAATCCACTATCTAAATCTTTCGCCTGCATCTCCATGTAATCCATCGCCTCCTCGTCCACCATTTCATTCCGACCCCTCACCGACACATCTCAGGTCGTCGACGAGGGGTCGCTGGCACCATTCCAAGTTCACTTCATCACTGAGAATGGGGAAACGAGCAATGTCTTACATTTCGACGACCATTCTTCTGTCTTCTCAAGGACAGGAATCCTCGGAGTTGCGAGACACGTGAGAGTTTTTCATCGTCCTGCTGCTCATCACATCTTGTTGACTGCACATTTGCAGGTCAGGATATCACGTCAGCTGCAAGATGGTTCCGCTGCTCTTGCTGTGTTGGAGTTGCAAGTTCGTGTTGAACTCACTTCACAGCTCTATTCTCATCCTCCGCGTGAGCAGGTCTGGGCGGAGCAAGAGTGGGAGTGCAGCAGACAATGTCTTCATGGAAGATGCGTGTTGGATCAGCGACGGGAGGACCTGATCTGCGAATGCGATGCTGACTGGGCTGGTGAAATGTGCAACGTACACATGCTAATGACATGGTGAAGGAACTGTCCGGGAGGGGAGACGTAAGGTTGAAAGTGTGTACCAGGCGCCATCTGCCCTTCGGTGTAGGGGGTGTGCGGGAAGACAGCTTCTGGGATCAGAGACTGTTTGATGAGGCTGTCAATGACCTGCGAGCTGTTCAGTTCCCGGAGAGGTGAGAGGTTGGGAAAGGGAGGACGAGATATGATGTATGATGCAAGGTGTGAAGCTGCAGACAGCGTGAATATCCGGTTCGAGAATCGAGGTAGGAGAGAAGAGGAGCAGGAAGGGGATGCAAGAGGAGGGGATCGAGCGAGGAGAAAGGGATAAGGGAGACGAGGAGGGAGACGAGGAGGGAGACGAGGACGAGGACGAGGACGAGGAAGGAAATAATTGTAAATATGTTCCTACTTAGGGGCAGCAGCGACTTTCAACTACATCGGGGGGCTGTTAAGCTTATCATACCTTCAGGTCCTTCAACCGCTACATTCTCATCCTCTATCGCGATCTTCCCCTCTCCTCCCTTCCAACCTTTTCGACCTTCCTCCTTCCCTCCTCTCTCCTCCTCTCTCCTCCTCTCTCCCTCTCTCTCCTCCTCTCTCCTCCTCTCTCCTCCTCTCTCCTCCTCTCCCCGCCTTAACTGCTCTCCTGTTTTACGTCCCTTCCCTTGTCACCTTCCTCTTCTCATTTGCATTCTTCTTCGCAGGGTAAAACTCTGATATTGCCGACGGACGACGCGTGGGTGTATGCGCACAATCAAGGTAGGAAGAGGAAGAAACTTGATGAGAATGTTTGAAAATTGATTGCTACGAACAGGATGTACAGACTTCGAGTGTTATTTCGAGCCCTGGACATCCTGCCCAGAGAACACAACGAACAAGGTGAGGAGAGGAGAAAGGAGAGGAGAAAGGAGAGGAGAGGAGAGAGCGGAAGGAAGCGATGAAAAAAGGAGAGGAAAGAGGGGAGGAAGGGCAGAGGGGAGGAGAGGGGAGGAGAGATTGCATGATATTGTTTTGTGCAGACAGGATCTTTCCAGATGGCACGATCGACCCATGAGATGGTCTTTGCGATGGTACCGAACAAGTTTGCAAGGAAGGGACTGCTGTAAGACCTTGTGCGATGCTCTTCTTTCTTCTCATCCATGGGATAGCTTCTGGCGGGTTGTGCTCGCAGCATTCCTTTTCAGAGTTCGTCCAGACATCCTTCAAGGTCAAGATTTCACTGTCTGTGCCCTGCTGCTGGAAAGTGACAAAGTGCTTTCTCTCTCGACAGAGTTGGATGTGAACTCTACCATGTCCCGTATGAGATGGTCGAGACCTGTTCTCGGGTAAGATGCTTGTTGAACGCAACATGATTGGCATGAATGTCAGATGTGCCATTGGGATACGACTGGGATCTCATTGCTACATCATTGCAATCAGAATTTCCTGCTTGCTTGTCGCTTGTCGACCTCGATTTCTGCTCTTGATTTCTTCGCTCATCTTCACGTTACCTCAAATTTCTCCTCGCAAATCCTCCTCTCACCTACGTCACCCTCTCTCTACCTCCACTCCAACGTTTTCCTACTCCCTCTCCATTCCTCTCCTCTCCTCCTCTCCTCCTCTTCTCTCCTCCCTCCCTCTTTCTCTCCCTCCTTCCCTTCCCCCCCCCCCCCCGCCCTTTCCCTACCCTTCCCCCTCCCTGACTTCCTTCCTAACGTTCCCCCTACCCGCAGGATTCACATCCGAGTCGGGGACAGCTGCAACAAGTGGGCGCTGCACTTCAACGGGACCTGTCTTCCCCTTTCCGTGCATCTTAGCGCGATCAGGACGATGATCGATCGTCAGTTCCCCGCTCCTCCTCCTC